AAGGAAACGGCTGAAATACACCAGAGACACAATTTTATGACACGAGCAGACAGATTTTTACTGCTTAGAAGTCACAGACAGACATGGAATAAAAAGATTCAGGGCATCACATCAGCATCCTGTTCCAACTACCTGAGAGTTTGCAGCTGACCAACCCGCAGGACAAGAGGATTAAAAAGGAGTTTCTCCCAAGGGACAATGTCCAGCCTTCAGTCCCCTGGGTCATCATCCACCTGGGGTGCTGATCACACAGGGAAAAAGTGTGGAGCCTGGGCAGGAGCCACCACCCATTGACTCACCTGTGGGCACTGCCCTCCCAGCTCAGGCAAACACCGACACTGTCCATTCCAGGGCTCACCCACACCTGGCAGCAGGCTCATGTTCTTTGGCAAAAGGATCAGACAGTGAAATGTCTCTACAGTAGAGGCAGCAGCAGTGTGAGAAGGACACAACATGACTCAGGAGCTTGTCTGAGCTGGCTTACAGTAGGAAAACACTCAGGGAAGAGGATCTAGCTCCATGTCCTTCCCTCTTGCTACTCAAAACATGCCCAGAGCCTCCCAACAATCTGGCAGTGCTACGTCCCACTGTGTGAGACATTCTCCCTTTAGTAGCAGCTTCCCACGCTACCTTCTTCCTCCTTCCCATAAGGCATCTATGGCTTTTGAAGATTTTTTTTTCTTTTTTTAAAAAACTCAGCAAAATTAGCGACCATGGGATGTCTGGAACCGCCTGTGCTGACTGCAGCACATCCAGCAACGAGGATGAAATCTGCTACAAACACACTTTTCTTCAGCCAGCAGCTCAAACTGGAAGTGGCCCGACTTGAGGCCACAAATGCCGCAGAGACGCTGAGCAGGCAAGAAGAGCGCAGAGGTGCGTGCCAGCCCACGCCACGCAGAGCTGTGCCAGACAACGGTCCTGCTTCCAGTGTCAGGCTCTTCGAGGCTCCAAAATGCACAGCCCCACCCGGCCCTACCTCAAGGGGAAGGAGAAGTACTTGTTCCCTGACTTGCAGCGGATTTGCTCCCATTGGATACGCAGCAGGAGTGCTGACTCCTCAAACCCATCCACAATGTCCTGGAAAATAGAGGCAGGAGTCAGTACCAGCAGGGCGGATCTGCCAGAGGATGGAGTTGACAGCTCCCTTTCTGAAGCAAGTCACAGATGAAGCCATTTGCAGCTGGAAGCCTCTGACTTCCCTCAGGAGAGTGATTTAACTCACACTCCCCCCAAAAGCTTCTCATCTTTCAGCCCAGTGAAGTTTGTCCTGCTCAGTGAAGAGAATTTCCCACCCTCGGACCCTGGCAGGGAGATGTGGCTGGACTCCAGCTCTGCCCTCCCACTGCTCTCCACACCCCGTGGGGACACACCTGGAGCTCCTGCAGACACTGCCCTTCCAGCCTGCCAGACAGGTCCCCGACACACCAGGCCAGGCTGATGTGGAACGATGGGTCCTGAAGAAAAAACAGGGATAAGAATGTGAGGGCTAATGGAGGCTTTGGTGGATGCACAGAGCCACAGCGGGAGATCTAGCATGGTGCTGCTGCCCTGCCTGGGATCACAGAGGCTGCAGGATCCCAAAGCCGGGAGTCCCCTCTGCCAACTCAACAGCTGCAGAGCTGATATGGACAGTGCTAGAGGCAAGAGGAGTCCTGGGCTTCCCACCCCAGCCCTTTTGGACACCAGCGGGCAAGGCTGCCTGGTTCCCAGCCTCCCTGTGCTCCACTCTGCAACTCTGTGCTCAACTTCTCCCCACTCTTCTGTGGAAGAATCTCTCAGAACTGGTCCTGGAGCAGGTACATGGGTCACTTCTGAATAATCCTGCTCAGCTCTAGAGACAGACTAACTGGGGTCTGGCCCTTCAAAAATCCCAAACCTGTTCCCAAAGCTAGTACTAAGCAAAAAGGCTGGACTAATGCCCAAGAAAGCTGCCCAAGGCAAAGACACAAGGATTGTCCTCAGTACAACAGTGCCCATTCTATCCTAGGACAACCTGGCTGCCATGCACAGCAAAGCAGCCACTGCAACTGGCTCCTGTTTATTTGAGTGAACATCTTGCAGGGAACCAGCTGGCATGTCCAGACTGGCAGGGGAGCAAGCAGGAAACGCCTCACCTTGTAGAATGTGGGAAGGTCAAATTCCTCTAGAACGCTGTCCACCTCCGAGACCAGCTCCAGCAGCTGGAAATGCCCAGCAGAGACCTCCAAGCCAATAAAGGTCCTAAAGAAAGGCAAGGAGATACAGCAAGCAACCTTTCATGCTGCATGAAGCACAGCCCTAAGAATACTTAGCCCTTCATTCCTACTGGGCAAGTTCCCCACTCCCCCTAACACAAGGAAATCAGAGGAATGCCAGGTTTAAGCATCCAGGGACGATGATTGTATTCTGACGAAAAACCGAAGATGTGGTAGCAGGGAGAAGCAGGACTGGATGATAAAGCATGTATCTAGATTTGCTAGATCAGCCTAGTACATTTTGGGACATGAAAATCAGTTTCCTAGGCAAAGGATGCACTGGATGGGAATTTCAGCAGAGTGCCATGCTCATGCAGGAGCTGCATTAAAAAAGTGGAAGTTGCTGGAGAGATTTTACAGTGTGAGAGGAAGCAGGGAGTGGGAAGTACCAAGCTGGAGAGATGTGACAAAGAGGTCAGCACCTCCTCCAGGACTGTTGGGATGACACTTTCTAGAGTCATTTAGAGTAATCATTTCTTCCCCTCCAGGGGGGAAGCAGAAGATTCAAGTGTCACCCAGATTCCATACCCACTTTTTCCTACCCATGACTATCTTGGGCTGCCTTTCCCGCCAGATTAAGCAACTTTCCGCAATTTTAATCACCTTTGCTTTGACATTCAAAAAAAAACTTAATTGCATTCCGTTGGAATCAGGCTTCTGAGCTGACGCCCAGGAGAATTAGCACCATCTCAGCTATTTCTCTCCAGCTCTTGGAAGACCTGCACTACAATTTCATAACTGGCACTGCTGCCAAAAGAGGTGGTCCCACTCTGCTCGCCCCAGGCTGTGCATGCCAGCTAATGAGACCAAAGCTTGCAAAGAATTAGTGCCAAAGCTAAAAATTTGTACAGATGGCTGGGGAAAGGTGTGAAATGTCTGGAGATGATCTGGAGGTGATCACATACTGTGTTGTCACACAGCCCAAACTGTGGGACAGGCAGGGTGACACTTCCCATCCACCCAGCACCTTGCTCAGACTTCTCCTGGGGCAGGCAGGCTGCTCCACTGTGCCCTCACCTGGTTTTGTTCTGGTTGGTGTAAACCTTCACTTGGTCAGCCACACAAAAGAACCTGAAATAAGAAAGGTCCTATGTCAGCTGCAGGAGGAAAGAAAGGAAAACAAAATTGATAAGGAGGGGCCAGGATTGATACCAAGCCACGGAAAGATACAGGCAAATATATACTGCAATTGAATCAAATTGGTGCAACCAGAACCTCTTGGGGCTCAAATTAATTAATTTCCTGTTTCCAGCCCTCCAAAGCCTGGACAGTAACAGAAACCCTGAAGCAGCTGATGCTCAAGCAGCACCTGAGCCACACGTAAGCAACAAAACCATCCATGCTTTAGGGGATGGCACAGCTCTGGCCTGATCCTGGAAAGCCAAAACCTGACGTGTCTGGTGCCAGATCGTAAGGCAGTGAAGAAAAATCCCCAGGGCTTTAATGTTCTGCCAGCACCATCTGCCAGGGACACCTTAGGGCGTGGATGCTGGCAAAACACGGATCCCGAGGGCAGAGGAGGGGTGTGAGGAGCGCTCTCCCGGGGCTCTGCCAGACCCACCTGTGGAAGGCGGCCAGGCGCTCCCTGAGGGAGCGAACGAAGGGCTCTATCCAGTGGTAGCGCAGCACCACGCACTGCGACAGGCTCAGGTGGAACTCCTCCATGGCAGCCAGCGACGGGACGTAGGTGCGGGCGCGGGACACCAGCAGCTCCAGCAGCTCCAGGAATTCCTCCTGGGCAATGTCTGCGGGGCAGCGCCGTCAGGGGAGCGCTGCCCGCGGATCCCCGCCGCGACCGGCAGGACCCGGGGGCGCAGCGGCCGAGGTCCGTCCCCCCATCCTCCCGGTTCCATCCCGGTCCCGGTCCCGGTCCCGGTACCTACAGGGCAGGTAGACGTGCGTGGCCCAGTTGCCCCGCTCGTGGGGGAAGCCGCGCACGCGGCCGCCGTGCCGGGAGCTGTCATCGCTCACGGCCTCCTCCGGCTCCGGGTCTCCCGGCAGGCCGGCGGGCACGGGCAGGCGGGGGCGGCCGGCGCTGCGGGACCGGAGCGGGGTGAGGAGGAGGAAGAGGAGGAAGAGGAAGGCCGCGCGTTCCCGCCACCTCCCGCGCGCTCCCGCCGCACCCACCTGGCCCCGGGGGGCCCCTGCGCGCCGCCGCCCCGGCTCCCCTGTTCCTCCTCCTGCTCCTGCTCCTCCTCGGAGCTGCTGTACTCCACCAGCGCGGCGCTCATGGCCGCGGCCCCCGCCGGGACACCCCGCTCCCCGCTGGCGGCGGCCGCGCAGTTGCCGGCGCGGCCCGGCAGGGGGCAGCACCCGCCGCGCCCGCCCCGCCTCCTCCGCCGCCGCCGCGGCCGCCCCGGCCCGGCCCGCTCCGCTCCCTCCGCTGCGCTCCCGCCCGCCGCTCGCTCCCTTCCCTCCCTCCCCTCCTCCCTCCCGGCTCCCGCCTCCACGCCAGCGCGGGGCTCGGGCGCAGCGCGCAGGCCGCGGCCCTGCCGCCGGCGAGGCCTTCTCCCGCCGCAGGTGAGCGGCCCGACCGCCGCCGCCGCCCTTTGTGTGCGCCTCGCCGGGGCGGGGGCGGCCCCGGGCGGGCAGCGACCCCCAACACCCGACCCCGCCGCGGGGCCTCCCTGCGCGGCGGCGGCGGCGGCGAAGGCCTCGGGGCGTCGTCCCCGCGCTGCCAGCGGGGCCGCCCGATGGGGAGCGGCGGGCGGCGGGCCGGGCCTGGCCGCGGGCTGCGGCGGCGGCGGCTGCCGGTGGCCTGCGAGCTCCGCGGCCGCCCCCGCGCCCCGCGGCCCTGAGGCGGCCCGGGCCCGGCGGCAGCAGCCGGGCCATGCCGAGCAGGCCGCCTCGCCAGTTTGAAAGTACCTCTGCGCTCCCGACCGCGCTCCCTAAATGGTTGTCGCTTCCCACCTCCCACGGAGGGATGAGTTAGGCTGGAGCTGGCGCCGACGCGGGTCCCCGCGCTGAGCCCCCGGTAAGCCGAGGTTGGTATCGCTCTTCCCTGCGAGGAGCACAATCTTCCCTCCCTGTTAGGCCGGGATGCTTCGGCGGTGGGTTCATCCTGCCACGGTTTGCGGGGGAAGGCGGCACCCGGCCTGGGCTGAAGTTTGGTGTCCCGCCGAGCTCGGGTGCGGGTACCCACTGCGAGCCCTCGCTTTGTCAAGGTGAGCTCTGGAGGAGGAGGAGGCATCCTGCGTGCCAACAGGACTGCGATGGTGCCTTTGGGGGCTTTACTGCCCGAAACTGTGCTGGAGCACAAAATAATGAAGTGTCCCCACAGTCAGAGGTGGGTCCCACACTACCTGAGCTGTGGGGCTCGACCCAGTCTACTGAGTGCCGGTGGAGGTGTGGATGCTGGGAAGTGGGATTCCCTGGTGTGCTTTATTGCATAGTTTTAAACATAAAAAATATTCTTGTGGACCAAGGATTTCCTTACCCTGGGGGCAAGTGGTTTGACACAGATATGGGGGTGCTCTTACGGGGCTGGGGGCTCAAGGACCAGGAGTGTTGGTGGCTGCTGCTCACCAGGGCTTGCACCTTCTCTCCTGAGGTGTGTTGATACTGCAGCTGTCTGCTGCTTGCTGGTGGGTCTTATTCTTCTCTAAGTTGGTGACAGCTTTTATTGGACATCTGTAAAAGACTGGAATTTTTCAGTGAGCACAAGCCTGATGATGCTCTGTAGCAAGGCCAGGCTGCAGCTCTGGCATAGGTTGATTGGCTTCAGTGTACTTTTATTACATGGATTGGAGGAGGTTCAGCTAAGCCACTGCTTTAACTCTTCTTTTATCTTCACAGAGTGATGACTGTGGGTTCTGTGTTCTGTCTGAGGATAGGATAACACTAAGGGCAAACATTCTCCTGAGCTCTCTGGCTCTTCCAGTCTGCAGGTGCTGCCCATGGAGGGGGAAATGCTTTGCACACATCCCTTGGGTAATGGGCTCGATACCCAGGAGCAGAACCGTTTCACAGGGCTGTTTCAGCTGGGGTGGGATCATGTTAGGATCTACATTGGTGCGTGTAAAATCTAACCCTTGTTTGCATGATGTTTGTGGCATAGCCTGTGCAGAGAGACAGATGTTCTCAGACAGTGCCACAGCACTGCTGGAGATGCAGTGACCCACTCAAGGCTGAGCTGAGCGGGCCCTGGGCAGTTGTGCTGCCTCTGGTGAGAGCACAACACCCAAATGTGTGCCTGGCAGTGTCTGGGCAGAGCCCAGCCCTTTCCAGGCTGAGAACTCCTTGTGCCAGGCCCTTTGCACAGCAGCAAGTGGGCTCTGGTTCCACACTGGCTTCCTGGTAGCTTTGCAAGGATGCAGAGTTTTCAAAGAGAGACATGGGAGAAGGTTGATAGAGAATTGCCCACGTTTCTTCTAAGACCTGACATGAGCTGTCTTCTTTCTTGCAGAGAAAGCTGCTCCCTGGGTTGCCTCCTGTACCCTTCACAAGTGTGAGCACGTCACAGCCAGCACAGAGAAGGGCCTCCTCTCGTCTTCAAGGCACTTGCCTCTGCCTCCTGTTCCTTTGTCCAAAAGAAGGAAAAGTCAGACCACATCAGTCCATAAAGAACCTGTGCTGGTCTAAGGAGGAGGCTCTGGAGTCTCTTCACCTCTTTTCTTCCCAGGATCCTGGCTGTGGGCTGGATTTTCTGGTCTCAACTTGAGGGGATCATTTACAGGGAATCAGGATCTCAGAATCTTTTGGTCTTGCTTTTACTTGAACCCTTTCATCCGGGAAGCTGAAGCTATCACTGCTAAAATCCCATTTTTTTTCCCAAGCATGTCAGAAAGCTGGCAGCAGCAACAGCAGCAACCACAGCAGCCGCCGCCACCGCAGCAGCACCACGCTGGGGCAGCCGCCCTCCCAGAGCACTCCATCCCTCCCAGCACTGCTGACAACCCCCTGGGCTGTGCCGTGTACGGCATCCTGCTCCAGCCGGACCCCGGACTGCAGCACCACCAGCACGCCCCCATCCAGGCTGGAGAGCCCTCCCACAAGTGCGGGGTGTGTGGCCATGACCTCGCTCACCTCTCCAACCCCCATGAGCACCAGTGCTTGCCAAGCCATGACCGCTCTTTCCAGTGTACCCAGTGCCTGAAGATCTTCCACCAGGCCACCGACCTCCTTGAACACCAGTGTATCCAGGTGGAGCAGAAGCCCTTCGTGTGTGGGGTTTGCAAGATGGGCTTCTCCCTCCTCACCTCGCTGGCGCAGCACCACAATGTCCACAACGGCAACGCCATGAAGTGCTCTATCTGTGAGAAGACCTACAAGCCCCCCGAGGTAGAGCATTCGCAGCCTCTCGACCCCTCGGAGAAGCCCTACAGCTGCTCCATCTGTCAGAAAACCTTCAAGCACCTCTCGGAGCTGTCCCGGCACGAGCGCATCCACACGGGTGAGAAGCCGTACAAGTGCACCCTGTGTGACAAGAGCTTCAGCCAGTCCTCCCACCTGGTGCACCACAAACGGACGCACAGCTCGGAGCGGCCCTACAAGTGCACGGTGTGCGAGAAGACCTTCAAGCACCGCTCCCACCTGGTGCGCCACATGTACGCGCACTCGGGGGAGCACCTCTTCAAGTGCAACGTCTGCGAGCTGCACTTCAAGGAGTCCTCGGAGCTGCTGCAGCACCCCTGCACGCCCAGCGGGGAGCGGCCCTTCCGCTGCGGGGAGTGCCAGAAGGCCTTCAAGCGTCCCTCGGACCTGCGGCAGCACGAGCGCACGCACAGCGAGGAGCGGCCCTTCAAGTGCGACCTGTGCCAGATGAGCTTCAAGCAGCAGTACGCGCTCATGCGCCACCGCCGCACGCACAAGGCCGAGGAGCGCTTCAAGTGCAACCTGTGCGAGAAGGGCTTCGTGCAGCCCTCGCACTTGGTGTACCACCAGCACGTGCACGGCATAGAAAACCTCTTCAAGTGCAACGTGTGCCAGAAAGGCTTCAACCAGTCCTCGGAGCTGCTGCGGCACAAGTGCGTGCAGAACGCGGAGCGGCCCTTCAAGTGCGCGGTGTGCAACAAGTCCTACAAGCGGGCCTCGGCTCTGCAGAAGCACCAGCTGGCCCACTGCGCCGAGAAGCCGCTCAAGTGCACGCTCTGCGAGAGACGTTTCTTCTCCTCCTCGGAGTTCGTGCAGCACCGCTGCGACCCGGCCCGCGAGAAGCCCCTCAAGTGCCCCGACTGTGAAAAGCGGTTCAAGTACGCGTCGGACCTGCAGCGCCACCGGCGCGTGCACACGGGCGAGAAGCCCTACAAGTGCTCCTCCTGCGAGAAGGCCTTCAAGCAGCGCGAGCACCTCAACAAGCACCACAGCGTGCATGCCCGGGAGCAGCAGTACAAGTGCATGTGGTGCGGGGAACGGTTCCTGGACTTGGGCCTGCTGCAGGAGCACAGCGTCCAGCACACGGCCGAGGGTGCCTACCAGGTGGCTGCCTGCTTGCCATGAGCCTCCTGCCCCACGGTGGCTTTCAGCTTGCATGGGACATTCCCGAGCCTTGGCCTTCCCTTCCCTGTCCTTGGTTGTTGGCAGCCTCCAGGGAGTGTGGGGGAAAGGGAGGGTACGGTGTGTGGGCAGGTAAACTCTCCTCTGGCCTCAGATATGCCACCTGTATTGAAGTAGCAACAGACGATGTGGACATCTCAAAGGGGTGGAAAGGAGAGGAGGGAGGTGGAGAGAGGAGACTATGCCTGTAGATGCCTGGTGTTCCCTGGACTGTAGTTTGTGCTGTACCTGCAGTTCCAGTCCTGGGAGCTCAGCTGTCTGCTGCAGGCACCAGCTCTTTGTGTGCAGCCTTTTTCCCCTGCCCTGCCTGGCAGGATTGGTGGCAAGGATTGTGCGACTCTCTTTCGGGAGAGGGTTTAGGAGCAAGGCAGAGCCAGCCCTCCCTTCTCCTAGGGTGTGCTGCTCGGCATAGAGATGGAAGGTTTCTGCTGCTGGGGTCTCCCAACTTGGTCCAGGCTCAGTTGAGGGCATCATTTCACATCATTACTGTTGATTGACTGCCTCAACCTCCCCTGCTCTCCCTCCTTCTAGAGTGTTGAAAGGGAAAAGCCATGGGGCTTCACAGCTCCAGAAAGCACTTTGGCATTGCTGCTTTTGCAGTTGCTGGCTGTCACACTCTGCAAGGGTTCTGAGTGAGCCTGCCTGCCCCCTGTCCCTGCCAGCTGCACAGGGAGCTGTAGGAAGCACTGTGCTGCCACCAGAAAGCATGGCAAGGAGCACTGGGACAGTCTGCCTGGCAGGAGGTCACAGATTCTCCCTCTCTGGAAACATTCAGAACCCACCTGGACATGTTGCTGTGTAACCTGCTTTAGGTGACCCTAACTTAGCAAGGGGTTGGACTAGTTAATCCCCAAAGGTCCTTCCAGCCCTAACAGTTCCAAGATTCTGTTACAGCATTCATACCCTGCTCCTGACCAAAAGCCTGGCGTTCAAGAGCTGCTTCCCAAGGGATTTATCCCTCCTGCTGAGCCTTGTCTCCAGCCCTTTGTGCACCCCTTGGGCTGACAGTGGTACCTCCAGCAGGGTCAGGCAGTGGGCTGTCACAGCTCCAACACTAAGGGGTGAGATGAACACTACAATAACCTACAACTGCAGAGGTGTTGCCATGGCCAGCAGTAACCCATGGCCCTGCCAGGGGCTGGGTGTCTGATTTGCTGGAGGAACCAGAGCGAGCCAGGAGAATCCTTTCTGGACTGCAGGCTCAGCTCCATGGGGAGGGCAAAGTTAGCAGTGGGTAAAGGAGAAGTCTATTTTTTCCCCTCTTGCAGGAGTCCTATTTTACCCCTTTGCCATATCTTTACCTCGTCTGTATTTTTCAGGTTTTGCACACTTCTTGTAAACATCACCTAAAAATAAATCTCCCCTAGCAAGGTTGATGCAGCCTCAGGTGTTTTCCTCTGCAGGAATTTGGTGGCTTCTCGTGTCCAAGAGATCCATTGCACGTCAGTTAGATGCCTTGAAGGTTGAAGATGTGCCTACTAGGTTGTCCCCCAGCTTTCCATCTTTGGACATATTAAGTATCCATCTGTGGAGATGTTTAGTCCCTGGCTGGAGGTGGTCCTGGACAACCTTGTGCAAGCAAGGACTTGGACCTGGTGGTCTTCAGAGGTCCCTGCCAGCCTCAGCTCGTCTGTGGTGTTGGCTGGTGCTCTTGTGAGGTTGCAGTGAGCAGCAGCCAGTATGTGCTGCACAAGTGATTAGGACAAGGTTAATAACTCTTGTCCATGGCAAGTGTAGACAGATTAACCGTGCAGAGGGTTGGACTGGGCCTGCATCTCTGTTGGGGGACACTTGTCTGAAAGGTGGAGAAAGGCTTTAGTTTTCCATTTCCAGCAATGTGAGGGGGAACAGAGTGCATTTTCAGGGGTTGGGACAGGGAAGTGACAGGGTAGACTCTGGGGCTGAGCCTTTTTCATGTGCAACTTTAAGGTGATTAAAACAGACTCTGCTCTCTGCTGCCCAAGGAAGAGGGACCCATGATGGTTATCTTACTTTGTGCTGCCTCAAAGATGTGGAACTTCCTACCAAGTTTTCCATCTGTGTTTCTTTTTCCTCTTTTTTTTTGTTTTACCTTTTTTTTTTAAAAAAAGCAGTTTGTTAAAATTCATTAAAAATACTGTATACTTTAACTTGATGTCATACTGAATCTTAAAAAAAAAAAAAAGAGATGTGGTAACTTGGATTTTTAAAGAGCTCTTTAGTTCTAGGTAGCTGGTTTTTGCTGTTTAATATGTAGTAAGTTCAGTGTATGCTTTACTGTAGGAGTAAAAGAGAGTCCAAACAAAGGAAGGCGAATCCTGTCTTTACAGAAGGGCTTGGTGGTGATGGAGGCTGCAAATGTGGGACCAGGTGAGGACTGTGCTACCCACCTGAACCCATGCTCTGTTCTTGCCTGGGGCCATGGTTCCTCTGCTCTTGCCCAGCACAGCTGCCCAGGGCTCAGAGCTTGCACAAAAACTCATCTTTGCTAGGAGGAGGTTGTGAGATAGTCAGCTGCAGCCTCCATGGGCTGTTGTGGCTCTGTCGTTTCTTTCTGGGGCAGCTGTTGGCTAGAGGAGAGTTTGAAGAAATCATCAGCTGGCTGTGCCCTGCTTTCTTCCCTCACCCAGAGGAGCTGCCTGGGTGACTGCCTGGCACTTGGAGCAGAGGAGGATGGTGGTGAGCCCCAGACACAGCCCCACACTGTGCAGGAGCTGCTAGAGCCTGTCCCCTTGGTACAGCTGGACATAGGGACTGTTGGGGGGTGTTTCTCTTCTGCTGAGCAGCTGGGAAGGTCCTGGATATCCCAGTGAGGAGCTCTGGCTCTGCCTAGGATGTGGCAATGGCCGAGCAGTGCCCTGGGCAGAGAGGCTCATCAGGGCTGTGGGACCCCATGCCAGGGAGGGAGGGGATGCTGTGGGGAGCTGGCAGGGATGAGCCCATGTCCAGGTCATCAGCTGGTGAATAGGTGCCTCCAGGCTCACAAACATCATGGTGCAGGATTAGAATATCATTATTAGGACTGGCTGTGAGTCCATGGTGACTCAGTCTCTTGTCTCATTTGCTGCCCTGCAACAGCCCAAATCCAGCTGAAGCCCATGGAGAACATGCAGCTGGAGCTTGCGGGTGGAAGACCTGTGTGGGGTGGGCACTGAGTGGCCACAGAGAGCTTTGGGTATATTTTTATAGGAGCATTTTCTAGTTGGAAGCAGCAGTGTTGCCTACAGGGGTAGGGGAAGCAGGTCCACCTCCATTGCTGTGCCTTCAGGTGGTGTTTTTCCAGTGAGGTGGGAGGTGGTGGAAGTAGCAGGAGGCACAGGAGTGTCAGGGGCGCCGTGCTGCTGTGTGGGGAGGCACAGGCTGGATGGGAGCTGATGTCCCTGGGGCATCACACTGCAGGGCTCTGCTGACTGCTGGTGTTTCCTTTTCAAACCAAAGAGCAGCTGGGGCCAAAGCCCTTTGGGGAGTAAACCATGTCTCTACTCTGTACCTGTTGCACTTCACTTCTGGTGTTTATTTCAAACAATTTTCAAGCTCCTGCCTCTGCTTGGCCTCTTGCATTCCTCACTGCCCTGCAGCACCTCAGAGAGTTGCTGTGCTGGAGCTGGTGTGGCATCAGCCCCGTGGCAAGTGCTCGAGCCAGTTCAGGACTGGCTGGCAGCCCACCCAAGGGTGCTGAGGGGCTGGGTGGTGGGGGGTCCCTCCTAAAGGGTGGTTCTCCTTGGCTGGCAGTCTGAGCATAGGATGCTGCGGAGTAGGTGGAGAGGAGGGTTAGGTTGGGCAGAGGTTTTGTGGGTGTTCTCCAGGACATAAGTCCTGCTGTTCCTCTGGCTTCCTGGGTCCAGAAAAAAGTAGTTTGTAACCTGGGCTTTTACTGATCTTCACTTCCCTTGACCCTACCTACAGGATGCCTTTAGCTGTCTCAGCCCCTTCCACAGGTTATACTTTGTAAAGACATTCTCAGCTTCTTTTCTCTTTGTTCAGTTCTTTATTTGTTTTTCATTCCTTCTTCCATACTGATTGTGCAGTTTCTTCCTTTGTTCCCACCTCCCTCTGCTCTCCCCAGCCCCAAATTCCTTTCCAGGCTGAGGCTGGATCCAGGTGATACCAAACCACTGATGGTGAGATCAGGTGTTCAGGATCTGAGTCTTGCTGGAATCCAGTGGGTGCATCTGGTCCTTCCCCACAGCAGGCCATCCATTTCACTGGGCAGGGGCAATGCCTGTGACCTGGCTGCTTGGCATGGGATCCTGCCCTTGCTCTGACAAGTGAATCCAAGCCAGGACCAAGAGCCAGAGCAGAGCTGTAGGAAATGAGGACTGGGGTGGGAGCTGCCATATCCATCTCCAAGGCTGGGGATTAGTCAGTGAAGGACTGTCAGACATTCCTGGGGAGATGTCATGGCCCTGGGCTGGGCTCAGACAGTGCACTTGGTTCTCCTGGGATTGCTGTGGAGCAGGCAGCTGAGCTGAGGTAGCTGTGGCATGGATGCCCCTGGGACCAGGGGATGCTCAGGTGGCCATGCCAGCTCTCTGGTGAGCAGATGCCATCTCTGCAGTCTGGGTGGGAAGATGTTCACGCTCTAGTCTTGGGGCCCATGTGCTGCACTGGGGGACAAAGGGGAAAGCATCCTCTGACAGAGTTTTGGGACCATCTCTGGGCACTCAAGCCTGCCCTTGCAGGGAGAAGAGGAGGGAGGAGAACACTTTCTGCATTTCCCTTGGGTATTTATCATCAAGTCCAGGCTGCAGCTGAAGCCTGACCATTAAAAAACAGGCAAAACCCTCTTGTTATACTTCAGAGTTTGACTCTTTCTCCACTGGGTGGTGAGTTCACCTGTGGGAAGGTTCCTGTGCATGCAGATGAAATGCTGAGATTCACTAAGGGCAGGCCAGTGATGTTTGGGGCTGGCAGCTCCCCCAGGCCCAGGTGAGCACCCAGCTTCTCCCCAGCTGCCCGGCTTCCTCCGCAGCATCTCCTGGCAGCTGCCTCTGGCACTTTCTGGATGTGAAGATGCTGCTCTCACAGCGTGCCTGGGATGCTCAGTGGGGAGAGCAGGACCACAGGTGGGAGCTGGACTGTGGGCTTGTTTCTGAGTGCCTCCAAGCCGTGGACCTGAGGGACTTCATGGTCAGTGAGATTCTTGGGTGCCTCCCAACCTGTGGTCATGACTCCAGTAGAGTTCCTGGGGCTGTTGGAAGTCACAGCCAAGGTTGCTGAGGTTTGTGTGGCTTGCAGTGCCTTTAACACTGCTCTCCATGTGTTTCTAAGATGATACTCCATGTATGTGTGTATATATATTGTAATAACACATCCCGCTCTTCTGTGTGAGTGTCAAATGGTTTTGCTTTACTAATAAATTTATAGTTATTTATACCTTCCTGTGGGTGTGTAAGGTTTCTGGAGTGGAGGCCATGTGCCAAGCACTGCCTCCTCATCTTTGTGGTCTGTCTGGCTCTGCTTGGGGTTTTTTTTGGTTTTTTTTTCATGTTTTCTTTCTTTCCCCTGAACTTTTTTGAACTACAATTGATGGTTCATCTTCACGAGCAGGCTCCCAGAGGCCAAAAGCAAACACAAGCAGAGTATGCTGAATGGGTTTGCCCCTGCTAGAATTAGAATGATCCCTCCCCAGGGCAAAATTCCTCCCTGGGAGCTTCAGGGCAGGAGCAGCCAGGAGTCTGTTCCTGCCAGAAAGGAGCAGCTGTTCAGGGGGCAGAAGCTGCTGCGTGTTGTGCTCTGGGATCCCACCCCACATTCAACTGTTCAAGCTTCTCCTGAGGGTTTGTTTTGCATCCCCCATCCTGTGATAGCAAGAGAAGAGCCCACTGCAGAGGTGCCAGGGCCAGGCACGGTGGGTATTTGCTGCCCACCAGGATGGAGGCACCCATGGAGCCAGGGAAGGAGGAAGCAGGTCAGGGAACTCCAGCGCTGCTCCGGGGAGCTCTGGGCTGCAGAAACAGGCTGGACATGGGGCAGAGAAGCCATGCTGCTACCTGGATTCCAGGGTGCCACTGTGACCAAGATTCGGGGCAGTGGGAAAGGCTGGAGGTAAACGGATCAAGCAGCAATTGGCAGGCTCAGCAAGGGGAGGCTTAGCCCAGCCCAGCACAGATTTGCTGCCGCTGCTCTGGAGCTGGGGCAGAGCTGTGGGTGGAGCACCCTTGGCACATCACCTTGTGTCACCCCACGGGGTTTCAGCAGCTCCACTGCTGCTCCTCTGCACATCCCTGCGCCCACCTGCACATGGTGAGACGCCTGCCTTCCCCACAGCGCTGCCGGTGAGTGCCTGGGGTAGCTTGGGTGGCTCCAGGGATTTTGAGCTTGCTCAAACCTGTTTGATTTTGGGGTTTATTTTGCAGCACTCTGCACCTAAACCAGGCTGGGTGCTGGAAGCCAGGGCACTGAGGACAGCTGGGTGCCAGTAATCCCATTTGCAGGCAGCACAGGGCTAATCCTCGCAGAGCCCTGAGCCGATTGAGGTGGGATGGGGGGTCAGTGGCGAGCTGCAGTGGCCAAGGGAGCCCACAGAGCCCAGGGGTGGCTTCCAGGGAGGCAGTGCTGAGCTGCGGGGGTAAGTGGCAGCGAGGGACGTGCTGGGATCTTTGCAGGGCCACCTCTCACATCACAGGGGGGTTTGCTGATCCGAAAGAGCCGGAGGGTGAGCTGTGCGGTCCCTCAGGAGAGATGCTGTGAGGGCTGGGTGATGTGGAGCTTTGATCAGCTGCTGGGGGGAAGGAAAGGCTCCAAATGAGGCTGGGGTCTGTGCCCTTCTCACTCTTAGAAATGAGACTAATGCCCTTTGCTGGCTGGCAAAAGGAGCTGCCACTACAGGTGGTGGCACCGCTGGGTGCCTGCAATGCAGCAGGATGCACAAGGCTGCGAACTCCTTCATGTCATTGAAGGCAAATCCTGGCTACTTATTCCTGTTTCTTTCAGCAGCTAGTTTTGTGGGGACCCACAAATGTTTCTGCTCCTTTCTTGTTCAGACCTGGCAGAGGAACAGCCTCTGCCCTCCATTTTCTTTCCCAGACCAAGGACAGGGATATGATCCAGGCTTTTACAGCTGCACAAGCTCATGTCGAGGGAGAAGCCCTCGGCTGACAAGGGGAGCTTGCTGCAGCCTCAGGGGGTTTCTCCAGGATTGTTTGGGCTCAGTTGTGTACATGGACCCTGGGTTTCTGTGGAACCTGTGAGAGTGCCAAAGCATGGGTGGAAATGCCTCTGCTGCACAGCACTGGCAGCTTTTCCTTGCTGTTCCCAGGGCATTCGCAGCTCCTTAATTCCTTGTACCCAGTGAGATACAAGGTAATTTAATTGGTTTCTGGCTGTCAGGCCTCAGGAAGTGTTTTGCAGCCACTGTGTCCAGCTGTGGTGTGGAGGTCTCTGGGAGAGTGCATGGTGCAGGCAAGCGCAGGGCTGAGGACACACATCACCCTTCCTGCAAACCCCAGCCTAGATTTAAGGAGCCAGGCTTTGGAGAGCCCCCAGTGAGCCATCTCAAGGGAACTGAAGATGTCCTGCATGCCTGAAAGCTGCATGAGGGGTTAATTCAAAGAACCCAGTGCTGAGCAGCTTCCAGCCTCTACCTGCTGCATGTGGGACTGGGATCATGTGTGTAACTGGGATTGAAACTCCTGTGCAGTCTCCTGGCCGGGCTGGAAGGAGCTCAGGGATCTGCTTTCTTTTGCCCTTCACAGGTATCACCTGAGGGCTGTCTGAGGTGTTTCTGAGCCTTCGTTTTGGGCAGAGTGGGGTATCTTTAGAGGAGCATTTTGGGCAGAGCGCAGCCCTTCAGAGGGGCAACAGCAAGTGCAGCCCCCAGTTTGAGCTGGATGAGAGCCCCCAGCTCTTGTTCAGTGCCTAAGAAGGGGAATGTGCAGCATCACTTGGCTCACTGGTGCTGTATCCCAGCCTGGAGCTGCTTCACAAAGGGAAGGAAGGGGCCTTGGACAGCTTGGACAGCTGAATCCCAGCTGAATCTTACTTTTACCTACCCTATCAACACCACAGCAGCCACTGCTGGATGCCTTTGCTGTCCTTGCCAGAGCCCCCAGCAGGTACCTGCCCCAGCAACCACCATGTCCCTGGGGTGTGGCTGAAAGGTGGTGGAGCAGAGCTGTTTTGTAGGAGCAGAAAGAGGGGATGTGTGTGTTGGGACATGAACTTCCTCATAAAAAAATTCTGTTCAAATTACTGTTCAGCTTCCCTCAAATGAAAAATGATGGGGAGAGTAGAGGAGCCTGAGCAGAGCATCACAGCTTCTGTGATCTATCTGCAATGGCTTCCTAGGCAGGACAGGTATGAAAACGAAACATCTAGCTACCTTCAGGAAAAGGAGGAAGCTACCTTCAGGAAAAGCAAGTTTAACTGAGATGGTGAGAATAAAATAGAGCATGTAGTTTGCTCACAGTGCAGTGAGGGATGAGGGGTTGAGCTGGGTGTGCCCTGCCTGTGCTGCAGTGCCGTGTTTCCCAAGCAGGACGTGGAGACGGAAGGACACCAAGGAGCTGCTCAGGAGACAGCTCAGTGAGGAGCTGGTGCAGCTGGTACTCCCCGGGCAGTGTGCAGCCCTGCTGCTGGGCTCCTGCCAGCTGGAGACCCCTCGGCCCTGCCTGCAGCCAGCGGGATGATGGGCTGGATTGACCGGGTGGTCCCCCAGCCCCCGGTGCCCCATGTGACAGAGGAGACCCCTGTGCAGGAGCTGCAGCCAGCTAAGGTGAGCAGGGAGCTGGCTTGGGGGGTGATGGGGACACCATGAGCACGATGAGAGGTGCCTGGTGCCTCTGCATCCATCCCCAGCACTGCAGCATCCCCAGGAGGGATGGGGGCTGGGATGCATTCCTACTCTGGGCTGCTGGGAAACAGCAGGAGGATGGGGAGTCCCTGGGGTTTGCAGCCACCTCTGAACAGGGACAGTGTCCCCTGTGCCTCATTCTCTGACACCTCCTGCCTTTTGCCCTGAAGGCACCAACAGGAAAGGCCGGTGGCCCCACAGATGCTGCAGAGCGGGCACGCACTGAGGGTAAGCCCCACGCTGGCTCAGGCTGCACATCAGTGCTCCTTTACCCGCCTGTCCCACTCCTGCCTGGCCTCCTGGGGCTGCCAGAGTGGTGATAGGAGCTTGCCTTGTTTTCCCCTGCTGCTATTGAAGAAACGGAAAAGAAAGTGACCTTTGTGGTTTCTGAGGACTCGGGTTCTGTGTTTGACAGGTACGGCTCCTGCACCCTCTGTGCAGCACAGTTTGCTTGGGATTTTGCTTTGTGTTGGGGGCTGGATGCCTTGGATGGTGTCCCCAGCTTGACTCACACCTTTCCCTGGCAGTGTGGGGAGCAGTGTGCTCTCCTGGCTCTCCCATGGACTGGAGAAGGTGATTCCCCAGCCAGCCCCAGCCCCAGCCCCAGGGCTGCAGGCACTCGGGAAGAGCTTTGAGACAAGCGTCGACATTGCTGATGAGGTAGGAGACACATCTGGGAAACTCTTTGGTGTATTTGAGCTTCTACCTCTTTTTACCTTTTCTTCTTTTTTCCTTCTTATCACTCTCCCAGTGCTAACTGGGAGCATTAAACCTGCCCTGCATGGGTTTTGACCTTCAACCATCCCTGGGGAAAGGGCAGGTTTCCCTCTCCACTCAGTGGGGTGATCCCTCTCTTGGGCTGTCAGGTTTTCAGACAATATGTTTGCCTTTTCAGACAGAGGTCCAGGTCCTTGGGAATGAGGACGACGATGGTCTGGGTAAGGAGAGCTGGGAGTTTGTAGTAGTAATGCCACCTCCCCGGCTGGTGACGCCGGCACTATTGTCCCCTTGTGCTGGCTGATGGGGGCACCTGGAGCTGCCAGCAGGGCAGATTCCCCACGCCCACAGCAGCGCTCTCCCTGCAGAGATAACTCCCTTCGATGCCGAGGAGGATGTCTCCGAGGTCGAGCCGGAGACAGCCCCGGAGGAGTGGTGGGTGCCCAGCGAGGCTTGGGGGGATGTAGGAGGGCAGGGGGGTGCAGGATGAGCTCCCGAGCGCGGTGCTCTCCCCGCAGGACAGGAACACGGGTGCTCAGCTGGCTGTCCCAGGGCTTTGAGAGGATTCTGCCACAGCCAGAGGGGATGAAAAAGCTGGAGGTGAGCGCTGCCTAGCTTGGCAAGAGCGGGGGCTACCGGGCAGAGATGAGAGTGGGGCGAGCTCCCTGCCTTCATCCTCCTGCACACCCCAGCTGGGACCTTGGGGAGGAAAAGCCAAGGAAATCCAGCAGAGCAAAAAGAGACCTCTGGACACTGTGCCGGTGTTCCTTAACCCTGATGCAGGGTGGGTGCTTCATTTGGGACTGACGGGTTGGTGTCAGCGGCCCCAGTGTCTGGGTTAACTGGTTGTTGAGACGGCAGTGGGGCTGAAACCAGAGCGGGTGGTGTGTGGGGTTGAGCACGTGGGGACATGTCCACCTGGGGTGGCCTGAGGCCGCAGGCAGTGCTTTGCTACGTCCATCCATCCCTCTGTCCCTCTGCAGACAGAGCCGAAGGAGAGGAGCGAGGGCGCGGTGGAAGGTGAGCGATCCGTGTCCCCTGTGCTGCTGAGGGCTGGGCTGCCCTCATCCCCATGGCCAGGATTCCCTCTGTGGACACGGCTCCCAGGGCTGGGGACACAGGTCCCGGCATCACGGCACAGCCCCTACACAGCTCCTGTCCCCAAGCTGCCCATGTCCTCCCCAGGCAGGGAAGAGCCCTACACAGCTTCTGTCCCTGAACTGCCCATGTCCTCCCCAGGCAGGGAAGAGCCCTACACATCTTCTATCCCCAAGCTGCCCATGTCCTCCCCAGGCAGGGAAGAGCCCTACACAGCTCCTGTCCCCATGTCCTCCCCGGGCAGGCTGCCAGGGAAGCCCCCAAAGCCTGTCCCTCTGCGGGAGGTGACCCTTCCTGGCTTGCTCCACTTCCCAACCATTTATGACAGCTCCATTGCCAATTCTCCTTCTTTCTAACGCCCCTGAGCAGGCACAGAGGGCACTGAACCCCCGGCGAAGTCGCAGCCCGGCGCTGCGGGCACACAGGAGGCGGTGGCACCGGGCCCGGGGGCTGCGCTGAGCGCTCGGGCCGCGGCTGCGGACGGGCTCAGGTAACCACGGGGGCACCTTCAGCCCAGCTCTGCTGCCAGAGGCACGGCTGGTGCCGGAGATAAGGTCTGGCTGCCAGTTCTAACAGGGGTTTCTCGTCTCCAGGATGTTCAGCTGGTTTGTCCAGGGGCTGGAGAAGGTGATGCCACAGCCGGTGACCAGGGAGAAGCAGGACACACAGGTGGGCTGCTGATGGATAGGGAAAGAGCACGGGAACACCACATCCCTGACGAGCAGGGCATCCCCTGCCCCGCAGATGCTGCTAGATCAGTGCTGGGACCTGCTGTGCTTTGGGCTGTCACCAAGTTCTGTCAAGAGAACAAGTCCCCATGATCTGCTTAGCTGATGAAAGCCAGTCTTTGGCTCTTAAGCAGCAGGAGATCCCACAGCATGTGCTTTCTTTACTGTTTCCTTGCCTTTCTGTGCAGCACTGGCTGGTGTCCAGGCTCTGGCATCTCATGCAGGCGTGGTCCCAGCTCTAAGGAGAAGCAGCAGGAGCTTTACATAGCTCTCCTTTTCTTCCCTGGCCCCCAGGCAAACTCACTGTTGTGCTCCTGCTCTGTACCATTGAGTGTGGGGATGCTCATGCCCATGGCCAAGCCATCCAACTTGCCACAAAAATGGGGTATTTAGGGTAAAAGGGGGCATTGAGGGTCAAAATTAAGGGTTACTGAAAATGAGCAGTGTCTCATGGTTCCCTTCTCCTCTTGACAGGGAGTGGCCACAGCAACGCCGAGTCCTGTGGAACAAAGTAAGTGATGGCTCCATTTCTTCATGGTGGTTTGACTGCCAAGCTTGTAACTGGCTTGGGTTACTGGGAAGAGGGGTCACTGGTCTGTCCTGGGTGCCAGCTCGGGAGCCCCTGGAATCCCCCAGGGAAGCCATGGGAGGTTGTTGACTCCTGAGAAGAGGAAGCTCTTGCTGAGCTGTGGTGTGGGCTTGGTAAAACTCAGGCTGAGGGAGTGTCCAAGTGCAGCATCCCACATCCTCAGGTCCTGGGTTTTGAGGTTAGTGCTGATATCAAGGTCTGTCCTGAGCTGTGCTGGAGCTGGAGGGATTTGATCAAAGAATTACAAGGGAATTCAAACCTGCTGCTTACTTTCTCTCCTTTGGTGTTTGCCTGCTGTGAGGTGCCTAGAAAGGTACCACAGGAAAACAAAATGCTGGGATTAGATGTCTTAGAATGGAATCTGCGTGGCTGTGGGAAAACCTGCAGGGTTCACACTGCTGTGTGCCCGTGGTGGGGGCCAAGCACCAGCTCTGCAGGCAGGGGGGCTTGGCTCCCCACTGCAGCCACTTTGTGGGGGGATGCTGGACAGAATGCAGAGCCACAGCTGCCTCTGTGGATGGTCTGGGCAGGTTACACAGCCCCGTGCAAGTGCTGTCCCTTGAAAGGAGTGGCTGCTTGGGCTGTGGGGGCTACTGATGGGAGCAGGGACAGTTGAGGCACATGGAAAATGCAAACCCCCAGGGATACGCTGGGAAGTTGCTCCCACAGGCCAACAGCCCCTTGGCAGAACCTCAGAGAGGGAAATCCTGGGGGAAGACATTTCTCCATGTGTTTGTACAAGCTGGAGGCCTGTGTGCTGCCATGGACCTCGGGAAGAGGCCAAGCCAGGGATGCTGCTGCATGTGCTGGGTGAGCACAGCCTCGGTGCCCAGCTGCTTTGGTGCCTTGAGGCCTCTCCAGGTCACTTAAGCTGCCCAAGGAAGGGAATGATTGGGTCAAGCAAGAGATCTGCCCTGGCACCAAACTGCCAGCACACTCATTAATGTTTTCCTTCTCCTTTTGTTTCAGGGGGCAAAGGGGCTTAGTGCCTCTGAAACAAATGGAAAATGAAGACCGTGGCAAACCAGCCCTTCCCACACCCAAATGAGACCAACCTGAGGAGAAAGCACAGCTGGGGAGGCAAAGCAAAGGGGAATCTGCAAATGGTGTCTAGCTCCATCCCAGCTGGGGCAGTGGGGACCCAAGGCTGGCACAGGGACTCAGGGCTGTCCCACTTGGCTCCCTCTTTGCTCTGGGAATTGGAGCTACTGGTTTTGCAGGATGGTGTCTGTGAGATGGGAGCCATAATTTACAGGATGGTAGAAAGGCATCACTTGGGACACCTCATTGGCAGAAAGATTTTTGCTGCAGTCTCTCAGCACTCCTGGCCCTCTCACTGCCCCCACAACATCTGAATATTCACCCTGAGACCCCCAGCTGAAATATCCCAGCTTCTTTGAGTCAAATTCTGCCTCTCAGGTGTAATGTTACAAACCTCCTGAGGCTCTTGTCAGGTCCTTGTTGCTTTTCTTCCACAACTGAGTGTTTCCTCCCAGCAAGTGGAAAGGGCTCTGATTTGCAGCAGCAAATCGGGTGGGTGAGGTTAATCTCTAGGTGAATAGGTTGGAGTTAATGGTTAAACAGATTTGCCCAGGCTCTTCTTCTAAGAGAACTTACCCCAAACTCTCCTTACGTCTAACTATGGCTGCTCCCTCCATGGACAATCACAGCTCCATGGATGCAGCACTGACTGCAGCAGTGTCACACTGTGACACGAAATAACTCACAGAAGCAGGTTAGATGTAAGAGGAAAGAAAAAGAACCTAAAAAAGAGAACTGTATTTTCTGACTCCAGTATATATACAATAGTAAAAGTGACAGTGGATTGGAGGATGAAATTGCCACCTCTCCAACCACACTGGTCAGACCAACAGTCCATCAATTCTCTCCACTCACAAAGAAGAATGCAAAACAGTCATTATTTACATGAACATACATGAGAAAACTCAGTTGAAATATGTAAATATCAGAAGACATAGGAACCTTTAGAAGAACTTTAAAACTCTCAAAAGAACAGGGTGACACAGCAGCAGGATGTCCCAGCAGGGAGGGGATCCCAGGGCCTGTCTCCAGCCCAGAGGTTGCAGGCAGGCATGGCCAGTGCAGGCACACTGGGCACAGGGGGTGGGAGCCCCTACACCCCAGGTTTTAGACACAGACCTTGGAGTAGCAGACTGGTTTGGGTTGTGAGCGACCTTTGAAGATGATCTCGCCCAACTTCCCTGCCCTGGACAGAGACATTGTCCATTAGACAAGGTTGCTCCAGGCCCTGTCCAACCTGGCCTCGAACACTTCCAGGGGTGGGGCAACCACAGTACACTATTCCTTCCTTATGTCCAATATGAATGTCCCCTCTGCCAGTTTAAAACTGTTGCCCCTTGTCCTTACAGACCTTGGTAAAAAGCTTTTTTCCATATTTTGAATAAGCCCCTGGATGGATTGACAGGCCAGGTTAAGATCTCTCTCACTGTTGCGTCTCTTTGGGACCATCCAGGCAACTGTAACAATGAGTTGTGAGCCAAGAGACCGCCCTGAGATCCATCCCCTGTGTTTATAATCAATCTTGCTTGTACCAGGACACAGTTTTAGTATTTACCACAATTTTCATATAATGTATCCAAAAGCCATGGTGTGCTTTAAAAGCTATTTCCCTGATTGCTGTCCCATGTTTTAATTAATGGAGATCCAGTGGGAATGGGCTAGAGGCATTGTGGACACCATGGGGTGGGTAAATAAGCCACAGATATGACACTGCATGGGTTTCCTGCCTTTCTGTAGTTCAGTTTGCACGTTTCCTATTAGCTTTGCTGTGGGCATTAAGTTTTGCTGTCAGGCAGACCTCAAAATAAACTGGTTTTACAGTAAGCGGATGTGCTTCCTCCTCCTGTTTCTCTGGTGTGAGCCTGATGTGGTAGGATGGGTACCCCTGGGACTTGAAAAGGGCTCCTCATGGGTCAGACTCCTCACTCTGCAGCTGCCTACAGCCCCCAGAAACCTGCTGTGGATTTTGCCCCAGTGATGCTGGGAAGTGCTGTGGGATGTTCCTTGCCTGGGAGAGTGCTCAGAGTGGACAGGACGTGGTGCTTGAGTGCTGTGATGTGATCTGGGTTCTGGGCTGGGTCTTGCAGACCCAGGGCTCTTGGGCTGTGCTAGGGCAGAAATTCATTGGGGGGTCACAAGGGGAAAGGTGTTGGGCTCTTCCAGATTGCAAGGAGGGACAAAACATGGCCTGGAGATGGGCCAGGTCACTGCTGGTGGAGGAGGCTACACGTGCTGGGAAGCCAGCACTCATCTGTGTGCAGAGGATTATAGCTTTCATAGAATCACAGCATGGTTTGGGTTGGCAGGGCCCTTAAAGCTAAACCATTTCCAACTTCCCAGCTATGGGCAGGAACATTTTCCACTAGACCAGGTTGCTCAAGGCCTTCCTGGGGTTTTGGCTGTGCTTGGCAGAAAATGGTGAATTTTCTTCTTCCTTCTGGCACCTGGGCAGCACAGCTAAGGGGCAGCAGGGCTGCCCAGCTCTGTGCAGGCTGAGAGCTGCTTCAGCACTGCCCCATGGAGCACATCAAACCTGGGACCTGCCCTGGCCTGACCCCTGGCCTCTGGAGAATGTGCTACTGTCACTTCACCTCCCTTTCCCTGTGGTATTTACATTCTCTGAGCAGAGAGAGACGATTCTCTCCCAGGATTTTTCCTGGAAAGTTGTGAGATGCAGTGAGAAAGCTCAGAGAAAGAAGAAAACAATTCTTATCTCTATTGGCTGCTCCTGTTGTTTGGCACCTGTGGGATGTTTTATGGAGATTGTTTACTGAGGAGTGATTTATTAATTAGCACCAGTGATGGTTGTTGGGATTGATTGGCCAATTGGGTAAAAGCTGTGTCGTGACAGTCTGGAGACAGTCATGGGTTTTTCTTGGGTATCTTTTTAGTATGATATAGTTCTAGTAGAGTATTAATGTAATATAATTTAACTTAATAAAAGCAGTTTATTCAGCTTTCTGCAACATGAAATCAGAGAGCATGGGGGGGGTTACACTACTTCGATATTTCCCCATTCCTGTTTCAGTTCATGCAGCCCCTGGGGAACAGGAGGAAACCCATCTGATCCTGAAAGAGATCGATGAGAGCCAGATTGATGAAGCGATGCTGGCCTGGGCTCACAGGGCTGAGCTGCAGGCAGATGCTCATTCCCTTCCCACCATACAGGAGGAACCTCAGGAAGAGGAAACCAGGTAGGGGAAGGCAGATGCTGTTGAGGGGCAGGTCTGTGTGTTCTCTCTCAGGGTCTGGGTGTCGAGGTGACCCCAAGAGTGTAAAAGTCCTCATTTCCCAGCCTGCACAGCCAAAGGAGTCTGAATGTGCAGGGTCGGCTTCTCAAGGGTGTTTATTTTCTCTTGTCTATAACATTCTTTCTCTGACCTGCTGAGCTCTGTCTAGCAGCTCGGCCATGACATTCTGTCTGCACTCTAGGGCAGCGTTTACATTTTATACCAAAAACTACCTGTACTATGTTTACAATAACGTGCCAATACCTATCATTTATGTTGGACAGCGTCTCTACCTTAAACCAATAGAAAAGTGTCACCATCACAGCAAGACAGGGGGGCAAGAAGAAGGTCTGGACACACCCAAATCCCTCCATCTTGTCCCCTTCAGCCCCATTCTAAAAAGCCCCAAATTCTACTTTTTCACCCTGTATTAATTCAACTATCACACTACTCAAACCCTTGTGGCTTGTAATTCCTCATACAAAGTTGGCAGTTTTTTCCATGGGCTAAAATCGAAGCCACAGGTGTTTTTGACTTCATGCCAGGGTCTCTGAGCACCTTGCCAGGGTTTTGAGACAGCCAGGGCAGCCAGAGGGATGTGCTGGATTCCCACAGTTCTCCAGTCACCAGTGTGGTGGCCATGGGAGGGGACAAGCCTGTCCCTGGGCATCCATCCTTGCAACTGCTGGTGCTGGAGCTGGTGGCCAAGGTGCCTGTTTCCAAAAACAGGGGCATCCCCTAGCAGGATCCAAAAGGTGCTTGATCAAATGTCTTTTTCTTCTGGTGTCTCAGTACTGGTTAGGGCAGGCAGTGGCAGAGCCATGGGAGCAATGCTCACAGTGCCCTGCAAAGGACAGGGGAGGGAGGCCCTGCTTAGGCTCCTGGGAGCTGAATTTGGCCCCAAGGCAAGGTGCCTCAGACCTTGTTCCCAGCAGTTGTGCATGCAGCTGGAATGACATTCAGAAATGGAAGTTGTCTCTGTATAATTCACCCTTGCTTCTGCCAAAGGAAACCCCTGCTGGGGAATTCCCAAGGGCTGGGCAGAGTGAGTGAGCAGTGTCACAGCAGGGGGATGAGAGGGGTCCATGCATGCTCGCAGAGAGTTTCTGAGCACCCCAAAATGCTCCCTGAGCCCAGCACAGCCAGGTGAGCACAGCAGCTCCCCCTTCCCACACGGGCAGTGCTCAGCTTTGCTCAGCACAAGGAGTGCCCTGAGCCACTGGCTCAGCAGAGCTCGGCCAGAAAACACGGGACACGCAGAGCCCCTCGTGTGAGCCTCACATACACCTCGGGGGTTCCAGCTCATGAGTTTCTCCTTTCCAGACTGTCTTTGTGCTCCCCAAACACTACCGAGGAGGAGGAGGAAAAGGAGGAGGAAGAGAGAAAGAAAGAGGAAGAGGAAAGGAAGAAAGAGGAGGAGGAGGAAAGGAGAAAAGAGGAAGAGGAGATGAAGCAAGAAGAGAAGGACAGGAAAGAGGAGGAAGAAGAGAGGCAGAAAAACGAAGAGGACAGGAAAAAGGAGGAGGAGATGGAGCAAGAGGAGGAGGCCAAGAAAAAAGAGGAAGAGGAGTGGAAGAAAGAGGAAGAGGGCAGGAAAAAGGAGGAAGAGGAGAGGAAGATAGAGGAGGAGAACAGGAAAAAGGAGGAAGAGGAGAGGAAGATAGAGGAGGAGAAGGACAGTAAAAAAGAGGAAGGGGGCAGGAAAAGAGAGGAGGAAGAGGAGAGGAAGATAGAGGAGGACAGGAAGAAGGAGGAAGAGGAGAGGAAGGAGGAGGTGAAGAGGAAGAAGGAGGAGAGGAAAAAAGACAAGGAGAAGAAGGAGGAAGAGAGGAAAGAGGAAGATAAGAAAGAGGAGGAGCAGGAGGAGAGTGCAGAGTGAGTGGCTCCCGTTGCCTTTAGGGCTTTGTTGGGATCGAGCGTGATTGCAGCTTTTGTTTCAAGTGCGTTCAGCAGCTGGAGAGGCTGAAACACCCACGGCAGAGCCGAGCTCCCAGCCGGGCAGGGATAGGGGTGCCGGGCAGAGATGGGGATGCCGGGCAGGGATGGGGGTGCCAGGAAGGGATGGGGGTGCCGGGAAGGGATGGGGGTGCCAGGAAGGGATGGGGGTGCCGGGCAGGGATGGGGGTGCCGGGCAGGGATGGGGGTGCCGGGCAGGGATGCCATGCGGGAGGGATGGCATGCCAGAGGGATGCTTTGGCAAACCGGCTCCCCCCAGGGCTCGCTGCTGACGCGGCACCTGGTGACAGGAGCGTCTCCTGGTGACACGGGCTCCGTCTCCATCGCGGCCGCCCGTAGCAACCGCAGCCCCTCCTGCGCCTTCATGGGAGGCGGGAGCATCCAGCTCCGGGAGATGGGCCCGGCTATTTCAACCATATCCATTAATTCAGGGCACTCGGGATTATTCTGAGTGTTACAGAGCTGAATGTAAAGACAGGATTATGTGTTGTGTCTGCAAATGCTGCTTCATACAAGTAGGTGCAATTTTACATTTTTTCCTGTTGTAGAAAATAGCTGAGTTCTTGTGAAAGGTGGTGACTTTGGTCTAGGTGGTATTGGGAGACATCTTTCTGCTCAAGATTAGTAGTTTGCTCTGATTTCACATGAGATAAACGTCTAGGGATTTCTTACCTAGTACTACAATATTATTCTATGTTAATTCCTCTAAAGTAGCTAGATTTTCAGGAAGAAACTGAAAACACATAATTACTCAGTGTCAAACCTATATGTTTGTATTTCATCAAAATCTGGTCCTGGAGCATCACTATAGAAACTTGAGCTTCAGTTGTGGGGTGAATGAGATGCCACTCCATCCTTCAATGTGTTTGTTTATTGGAAAAAGAGAGAGAGACCAACAGGTTTTCTAGTTTAGGATGGAAAGATTTGTGATCACATTTGAAGAGAGCATAATTTTAAATATTAAGGGGGGAAGTTATTGAATATAACAAAACCAGAGAGTATTTAGCTCTCTTAAAATTCTTCTCCTTATCCCAAATCCCTGCTTTGGAGTTCTTGCTAGGAAAGAACAAATCAAGAGGTAAATGCACAGAGCAACATTTGAAGTGCTTTTATTTCAGTTATGAAGTTATATTAAAGCAATAAAATCAATCTTGGGAGCTCCTTTGTCAGAATGCTGGAGCTGAGGCCTGTGCTTTCTCGGGAAGGAAAATGAGAATTACGTGTCCTGGTGGTTTCTTGCACAGGCAAACGTGGGATTTGAATAGCTCTTGTGGGAAAGCCTTGCCTGGAAATTGGGTTTTGGCTTTTTATTTGGCCCACTTTAATTATATGAGAAATGATGCACAGGAGGAGAAACATTCTGCCTGGATCTTTCTGCCTCTGCAGTTTTTTGTTGTACCTGGCAATGCCCTGATTTATTTATGCACCTCTCACCTGGTCTCCCAGGCAGTATTTTTTCTCTTCCTTCCAGACCCCTGCTGCAGCCTCCTTGTCTCCCTGCTGATGAGGGGGTGGATGAAGCCTGCCTTGCCCAGGAGGCCCTCAGAGTTGAGCAGCTGGAGGAAGCTGAGATAAGTAATCTGGAAGGTGCCCTTGTGCAGGTACGGCACCGCTCCCTGCTTGGGCTCCCTGCAATGAGCTCTTGCTGCCCTGCAAGTGCTGGGGCTCAGAGCTTCTCCAAGAGGGACAGCAGGCTGGGCTGGGCACAGGACGTGTCCCCATCCCTGAAGTGGGACAGCAGAAGTAGCTGTGGCTGAAGGGAAGGCTCCTTTCACCCTACAGAGTGGGCACTGAACAACAAGCTGAGAATCTGGCGGTAGGAGGGATATGGGGCATTCAGTCCAGCTGCAAGGTCTGCTCTTTCGCTGACAGAATGGGCTTTTGCTCCTTAAAATGGCTTTTTTTTTTTTCATTTTGAAGGTGGAAGAGGAGACAGCTGAAGCTGATGCTGAAGGTACAGCCTGTAGCAGAACAATGCCAAAGTGGGGTGAAGAGAAGCAGGGTGCCTGATGGAGAGAGAATTGAACTTCTCCTTTCCTGCTGTCAGGGAGCAGGGAACTGACTCCTCCTCAGCTTGGGCCTGCAAGGGCAGGCAGGGCTGTTCACTGGGGTGAAACATCCCATGGGCACAGCACAGTGGCAATATTGGCATTGTCTGGAGGTAGCTCGGAATGTACAATGCTTAGTCCTGTTGATTAAGCAATCCCTGATGTGAAATAAGAGTTTGTCTTTCAGCTAGAGGATGTACAGGGATAAAAAGCATTTTCTCTACCACTTTTCTCCCTTTGGGAAATAACCAGTGGCATAAAACACATTTTAATGTAACGTTATAGGAAGCAATGGGTGGTAATGAAAATTAGGGGGTGAGTTCCCACTGCAGCCTGACTGAGCAAAGGCACATCCTGGCAGAACTCCACTGGCATCAGGGAGTTGCACAGGGAATGGTTTGCCCTCACCCCTGAGATTCTCTGCTTGCAGCCCTTGCAGAGGGGCAGTGATGCTAGAAAATGCTGATTTGTCAGGAACTATAGTGATAGGACAAGGAGTAACGGGTACAAATTGTAGGAGGGGGAATTTAGGTTAGATTATTAGGAAGAAATTTTCACAGTGAGGGTGGTGAGATATTGGGACATGTTGCCCAGGGAGGCTGTGGATGCCCCAGGCCAGGCTGGATAAGGCTTTGAGCAACCTGGAGTAGCAGGAGATGTCCCTGCCCATGGGACATGACCTTTAAGGTCCTTTCCCACCCTTAACTTCCATAACTCCACAAAAAACACGTGCTAGGATGCCCACCCCTGCCAGCAAGCCCTGTGAGCAGCGGGCAGCCCCAAAGCGGGGTCAGCCCCTCACTCCTGCCTGCGCAGCCCTCCCTTCTCAAACCACTCTGTGTTCTGTTGCAGCTGCAGATGCCTTGTCCTTTGCTTGAAGCACCTAGCAGGCTGCTGGCAGCATGGCCAGGCGGGCCCGGGACGTCGAGCTGCACCGGCTGGTGCAGGACAAGCCAGGGGCTGGCAGGGACCCCTCCCCTGCTGCCCACGGGGCTCGGGAGCTGCTCCCCAATGTCCCCAGCTCCCGAGCCCCCGCTGCCACCCGCGGCCCCGGCCCTGGCGCCAGCAAGCCAAAGGCTGGAGTTGTCAACCCCAATTTTTGCACTGAGGAGCAATCCCCACTAGGTATTAGAGATGTTGGCTTTGATGACGGCTTTGTGTAGCTAGAGGGGCGCGGGGTGGTGGGGGGATTCCTGGAGTAGTTGCTTTTTTGTTGCTTTCTGGGGAGGGGAAGAATTAAAGAAAAAAAAAAAGCGTGCTTTGTGTTGCAGCACAGAGGCTGGGAAACAAAATCCATGTGTTTGTCTGCTTCTGCCTCATCACTGTGTGCCTTTTTAGCTAAGCCTAGAGAGTGTTGGCAAATGCTGTGTGTTTAGAGCTGCTCAGAAAAGCTCTCCTGAAGGACCTGCAGGCAGAGGGTGCAATATCACCACACACAGTTTTCTCTCCAGCATTTGTGCAGCCTGCTCATGCTAAGAGGAGAGGAAGGTGGAGGTTTGCTGTTCATGGCTTTCTGCCTTTTCTGCAGCTTTGCTTTGCTTTGTTTTTCACCAGAAAGCTGAATTCTGCTGCTTTTCCTTACATGCAACAGGATTTTAACTTTGCCACCCAAACAGGCTTTTCCTCAGGCATTTAGTCAAGCCACACTGGTCCAGTAGCTTCACATCAGTGTGAAGCAGGAGAAGGTGCATGGGGTCTTTCAGATGTGTGAAAACCTCCCACAGAAGAAATCCTGCAGGAATTAATTTTATTTTGTTAAATAGCTAAGAAAGACATCACACTGGCCAAGGTAGTCCCCAGTGCCATTTCTCCTTTGGACAGCTGGCATCTTACTTTACCCACTATAAACATCCAACCTTCCTGCTTCTGACCTTGCCTGTGGCAGGAAGCAGTTATTATCTCTGCAGAAGAAAGAAGCCATAAATGCTTATTTAAATAGTGCCTTATTCTGCATGAGAAGCAAACATTGTGTGGTTCAGAGCTGTCACAATCCATATGTTTACATTGAGAAAAACCAGGAGAATCTCTACACCCTGGGAGGCAGGTTTGCTCCTGGAAATTCTGGGTTCCTGCATAGCACCTGCAGCTGGGAATCCCAATCTCCATTGTTTTGCAAACCACGGGAACCCAACACTCAGATGGAGTAGCTGCAATCACTGCAAGCTGGGCAAGCAGAAGGGCAGCAGATGGTAGTTCTTAGAGTGTAAAAAACTGGGGGAAAAAAAAAAAAAAAAAAAAAAAAGATAAATAATGCTCCAAATGCTTAAGAAAAAGGAGAGCCAGACAAGAAGGGAATGGAGGGAGAAGGAGAGTCCTTCCCACGCGCTGCAGGGTCTGGGGGCAGCTCTGGGGCATGGCGGGGTCTGGGGAGCCCCTCTCACTGCCATTATTGTCCTTCCCCTTGGAGCAGGTGACTCCCCCAGCGTGGAGACGGAGGATGTGGCCAGCCCAGGCCAAGCTGAGGAGATCCAGGGCGGGCACGGAGCGCTGCCAGCCCCCGAGCTGCTGGCGGTGCCCGGCGCAGCCTCCCCCAGGTACGGCTCTGCCAGGCCCGGCCCAGCCCAGCAGCACCACACAGCCACGGGAAATGCTCATTCCCGGCAGATTTGGGCAGTGGTGCAGCGGGTGTCACCCCAGGGCACAGCAGAGGAGATGGCCAAAGCCTTGCCCCTTGTTTCTGGTTTTTAAATTACATTTTGTTTAAAGGTTTTGTGGCCAGGGATGGCCCTGTCTGTGTCCTCCTGGAAATGGGCTTGATCCCCAGGCCATGGTCAAATTCCATTTGTCTGTTGTCCACCTGTCTCTGTTCCAGATTCAGAGCACAGAGGGCCTATGTGCATCTTAAAAATAAACCATTTTTTTCTTGTATCTTTGCTGCAAGGGCTTGCAGCGTGTCCCCCCTGGGTTTGACCTTGCAGGGGAGTGGTGGAAGCCCCATCCTGCAAAGTGTTCAAGGCCAGGTTGGATGGGGCTTGGAGCTACCTGGCCCTGCCCATGGCAGGGAGCTGGACTAAATGGTCTTTTAAGGTCCCTTCCAACCCAGGCCACTCAGTGATTCTGTGCTTAGGGAGAGGGAGGATTAAAACTGAGCTTTAAAATTTAGGCTGGAGAAAGCTGATGGATTTTTTTCTGTTGTGGCACTAGGTTTTTTTGAGACTCAGTCTTGCAGAGGATTCAAAATAAAAGCTAAAGTGGGATTATTTTCTGTGCTGAAAACCAGGTGCTGTAGTCATTCTCACTTAATAGTTTGGATCTTTTCGTTTTTGCTCCTGGAGGAGCAAATAAAATGGTGAAAATGTCCACAATCCAGTCAGTTGAACAGATATTTATACTGGGACAGCAAAGCCCAATACTTCATGTAAAATACCTGCAGTGGAAATACTGGTAGCATTAAATATATTTGTAGTTACACATGTGAGCATATAAACCCTTCTGCTGGGTCTCCAGGGAGTGTCTTTTTTAAAAGCAAGGAACTCCTGTTCTCCAATATCTCTAAATCCCTTCTACTGGCCACAGACTGGAGTTATTTCCTCCATGGCTCTGTGAAGGATTGGAGTGAAGAGTGTTTAGACAGAGTCATAAAAGACTCATTGCAAATGAGCCACACACCTGACTGGAGCCTGGACAGAAGCTCCTGCAGACACTGCCAAGACACCCTGGCTGATACCACGTGGAACCCTGTGCATGCCACATGTCCCAGGGCCGCTGGCCTCTGCCTGCAGCTTCCTGAGGGCACCAAAACCTGAGCAGGGTTCAGGCTGTGACACCTTCCACCCAGCTGGCTGCTCACTGAGGGTGTGTGTCTGCTGCAGGGTGTCCCTCACAGGGCAAGGGGCTGCCAGCGCTGGCATCTGGGCTTGCTCAGGGGTGAGGACAGGCCAGCGTGGTGCCCTCAGGGGACAGAGGCAGGGGAAGGGCAGCTGGAGACTGGGGAGAGGCAATGGATGTTGTCCTAACAACAATACAGACCTTGGCATGACTGTTTCTCCAAACTGAGTTCCAAAACTGATGTTTGGGAAATATCAGGAAACTCGGAAAATGAAGGCTCATCAGTCTCGTTCACCAGCTCCACCTCCCACCTGGGAGCCAGTGAGGCTGAAGGTGGTGGGTTCACAGCATTTGAATCCCATTTGACTCCTATTTCTTTGGGAGATTTGTGATGGCAGGATGACCTCTCAGCATCCTGCCTTCTCCTGCTCCACACACAGCACTGAGACATTTTGTGCCATGGCCAATTGTGGTGGCAGGAGACAATTTCTTCATCATGGCTAAAGTTCTGGGCTTGGCTGCAGGTTTGCAAACCAGTCCAGATTTTTTCTGGGACTGTTATCTTCATATTCAGCTTCCCTTCTGACACCTTTCTTGCCCACATGTAAGGAAGTCACCTGAGAAACCTGTCTGTGCCAAAGGGAGCCCCCAGCTGTGTTAGGGCACAAGCTCTAGGCATTGCTGGCATTGCACTTTCCTTGCCTGCCTCTGGAAGTGCAGAGATGGGAAGCTGTGGCACTGGGAGCAAGCACAGGATGATGCCTGCCCTCCCTGCATCTTGCCAGGTACCCAAATTGAGTTTCCAGGTGGCTGCATGTCCATGGAGCCAATGGCTTGTTGGTGCCCAGGGAGAAACAGGGATTTAGCAGGAAAGGAGCAGGGGGGTTCACTCCCAACTACTCCAGGCAATGTCAAAAATTAGGGAAACTGACCCCATTAGGAGAAGAGGGAATGGAAAACAGGTCACACCTGGGAGGGAGAAGAGGGAGAGGAGCCAAGCCAACCCTTGGTCTCTGTGTTTGTGTCTGCAGGAGGAAGCGACTGCTCCCAGAGGATGCTCTGGACAAGGGGCTGGTGAGGCAATCCCCCAGCAGAGTGCTGGGCTGGGAGGAGGAGCAGAGGGAAAGGTGAGTAAAGGGCCCGGGGGCTCCGGATCACCAGGGGTTCACATCCTGGGGCCTGGCTGGAAAGATCCCAAATATCCTTTCGGAGAGGAAGCCATGCCACTTTGTGTTCTTCTCACTACACAATACCCAAATAAACACAGGTAAATCCTAATTCAGCTGCTGTAGGTAAAAGAATGGGTCAACACTGGGTCATGGTGCAAGGCCAGGCCGGATGGGGCTTGGAGCAACCTGGTCTAGTGGAAGGACGCCCTGCCCGTGGCTGAGGGTTGGAATGAGATGAGCTTTAAGGTCCCTTCTGACCCAAACCATTCCAGGTTTCTCTGATCCCATGAGCCTGCCCTGCCCTTTCCTGCCTGCATGAGGTGCCCCTGGTGTCCCCACAGCCTGCCCCAGCGCTGCGGCTCGGCCTCCAGCCTGAGCAGCGCCGCCATCAGCAGCCGGCTCCAGGAGCTGGTCAGGCTCTTCAAGGAGAGGACTGAGAAGGTGAAGGAGAAGCTGATCGACTCCGATGTCACCTCAGATGATGAGAGCCCCGTGGCATGTGAGTTCAGGTGGGGCTGGGGGTGTTTCCCTGGTGGGTCCCCATACACGCTGTGTCTTCTGGGAGGCAACTGTTTTATTAACAATTTAAAGACCTTAAGAAAAAGTGCAGCAAGAAGATTTTTCTGCCCTTTGAAATAACTGTGTGGCCTCTCCCAGCTCCCACCAAGCCAGCACCTGCAGCAGCACCGGTACCTGCCCCAGGAGGGGAGCTGCAGGGGGACAAGCCTTTGGGGGATGACCACTACTGTGAGATGCTGTGCTGCACGTTCAAGCACCAGCCCTGGCTGGACCGCCTGAAAAGCTACAAATTCCCCAGCAGCATCGACCCCCTCACCAGTGAGTGATGGAGCACAGCCTGGGCTGGGGCAAGCTGGTGGCACTGGGGGAAAGAGGGTGAGGAGCTGGGGAGGAAAATTAAGCAAGAAGCAACTTAGTTTTCACCAAAGCACAGAGTTTTAAATTCCTCTGCAGGGCATAGGCTTTTCCTAAATACTTCCTGCTGTGGGTGTCAGGAGCAGGTCTAGGCATTCTACTTTCCCTGGGTGTGGATACCCTCACAAAAAATTAAAATCACAAAAGAAGATTCCACTGCCTTGTGGCCACCCCACAGAAGCCCAGCTCTTTCCTTAGTTTTTCATATTCCTCAGTCCTTTGGAAACCTCTGGGCTCAGGCAGCCAGCCACCAGTTCAGCATGGCTGAAGGGGAAAAACAAAAACAGGGAAGTTGGAGTTGTGGGAGCAGAGCAAAAGCAAATATAGCTGAATGAGCAAAGTTAGAAGAAGCTTTCTGATAAAACGTGGTGTGTTCTGTGAACAGGGGTGTTCACCCTGTGCTAGAGCCCAGCTGCAATCAAACACTGTCACCAAGAGACTTCATGCAGGTTTTGCTGTTGTGCTGAGGGGCAGGTCAGGGGATGGAAACCCCTCTGTGCAGTGGATCCCACAGAGGAGGGATGTGTGCCCAGCTGATGGTGCTGCTGTTCCCTGTGTGCAGATCTGATGTACGTGCTGTGGCTGTTCTTCGTTGTCATGGCCTGGAACTGGAACTGCTGGTTGATCCCTGTCCGCTGGGCTTTCCCCTACCAGACTCCAGCAAACATCCACTACTGGCTGCTGGTGGATTACCTCTGTGACCTCATTTATCTGCTGGACATCCTCATCTTTCAGACCCGCCTGCAGTTCGTGCAGGGGGGAGACATCATCGTGAGTGGCAGGGCACTGCATCCCATCACTGTGGGACCTCCCATCCCCATCACCCTCAGGAACAAAGGTGCTGCTGGCCTCTGAACTGAGCTCCCTCACCCTGGCCACGGCCATCAGGGCTCTGGCCCCTCCCAGAGACCACGAGCGCCTCTCCTGACACTGACTGGATAAGCCAAGTCTTTTTTCTCCCAAGCACACCATTTTTCCCTGTGAAATCAGTGCCATGCTATCCAGTACTGTGTGGCCTGTGGTTCCTGTTGCTGGGTAGGGATGCCTGCAGGGTGCTGCTCCATGGGGTGGTTCTGCCCGTGGTGAGGTGCTCACTGACTGGCCCTGGCACAGCCGTGTGGTGCCAACCTTGGGCATGGGCGTAGCAAACTCTGGGGTTAATTTTCAGGAGCTCTCCAGGCAGGATGCATTAGCAATTGCAATCTGAACACACAGATCCCATGCCTGAGATAAGGGAAGCCTTTGATTTCATTTCCATATTCAATTAAACAAACTGAAAAATCACACCTTCAGGATACAGCCTACCTGTGGCCATGCAGATGCTCAGACAGGCAGTTTCCCATGCACATGCTGATTTTTGTGGTGCTGGCACTGTGATGTGCTTTTCCTGGGATGCAAAATCAAAACAGGATGTCCCAAGGTAGGATGGGAAGATGGCCAGGACTTTTCTCCTTGCTCTTCTCCCCTTTCCAGGCACAAAGGGAGCATCTTCCCTGTTGTGGTGCAGAGGAGGAAAGCCAGGGATGACCACATTGGCCCTAGCTTTCCTTTCTCTAAGCAATAATCAATTTTCCTCTCTCTCTCTCTCTCTCTCTCTCTCTCTCTCTCCTTCCTGTTCCCCACCAGACTGACAAAAAGGCCATGAAAGAGAACTACCTGCGATCACAGCGCTTCAAGGTTTGTTAATGTTTTCTTTATTCATCTGAAACTTTCATCTGCCCTGTGGGTTCAGCCCCACCCCAGGGCTCCTGCAGGTCCCCACTGAGGTTTCTCCCTGGGTGGATTTCAGATGGATGTGCTGTGCCTCCTGCCCCTGGATTTCTTCTACTTCAAAGTGGGTGTCAACCCCCTCCTGCGCTTCCCTCGCTGTCTGAAGGTGAGTCAGGGCTTACAGAGTCAGGGAGAGCAGCAGCTGCAGGGCACACAGAGGAGTCCTGTGCTGGCTGGGGTGGGCTATGGCTTGTCAGACTCATCCATGATGACAGGAGGATTGTAAAATGGAGAGAAGTTTTGTCCCAGAGGTTTTGCAGGGCTGTTGGTCAAACACTTCATTTCAATCCTAGACTACTCACGTTTGACTAGAAGGGCACTTTTGGATGGAGACTAATCTGCCTGTGGCAGTCCATGCTGCAGAGGGGCTGCAGGAGGGAAACGAGGGGCAGAGGGGTTTTATGGGCAGGTGACTCTCCCAGGGGAACCTGGAACATGCAGCTCTCTTCTCCTCCCAGTACATGGCCTTCTTCGAGTTCAACAACCGCCTGGAGGCCATCCTGACCAAGGCATACATCTACAGGTGAGGGCCAGGGGGGAAGGGGGGAGCATGGAATTGCTGTTTGCCACTGGGGAGGAAAGTTCCCTTCATTCTGCACTTGTCCTGTGTCCCTGATTTCTTTCCCTGCTGTGCCTGGGCTGTCTGACGTGGACTTTGGCTGATGTGGTGGGACATCAGGGTCCCAAAGCCTGCAGGGGTAGGATCACCCCTTCTCCAGCACCCCTGTGAAGGAGAGCCATCAGCAGATAAACTGCTTTTCTTGGCACTTCTGGAGCTGCAGGGCCGCAGGAGGCAGCAGCAGGGTCGGGGTGCTCTGTCACCTGTATGGTCACCACTTCAAATCTCCTGCTGCTCCCAGGGGGGAACCTGACATCTTTCCCTGGCAGCCATCATCTCCCTTCCTGCTCTCTCCTGGGTTTTTCTGCAGGGTGATTCGGACCACAGCCTACTTACTGTACAGCCTGCACGTGAACTCCTGCCTCTACTACTGGGCCTCAGCCTACGAAGGGCTGGGCTCCACCACCTGGGTCTATGATGGGGAAGGAAACAGGTACAAGCCAGGGCTGGGGGTCTCACAGAGCACAGCCTGCTCGATGAGCTGGAGCAATGAGGGAGGTGTTGGGATGCAGCTGGATCCATGAAAACCCCTGAAGCAAAGGGTTGGGAGTGCCAGGAGAAGATGTGGAGCCAGGGGGATGGGAGAGATGGATGGGCAGTACTACACAGTGCTGCAGGATGAGGCCGCAGCTGGGCAGAGGTGGAAAGCAGTTGGACGTTGAAGGGCTGAAGAAGTGGGATCTTGGTGCTGGGAAGCAAAGGAATGCTCCCTGGCCAACCAGGACCAGAGTATCAATTCTGTTCCTGTCTGTGTTGACTGTTGCCAGGCTGGGATGGAGGAGTGACACCGAGTGTCCCTGTGCCCTGTGTCAGGCCCCTCAGACCAGCCAGAGTGTTAGATGGGGACAGTGGCCAGCCCTTCCCCTCACCATGGCAATACCCATCTTAAATGTCCCCTGTGCAGTCAGTGATTGATGCTACAGGCAGAGTCCTTGGCTCACAAGCTGAATGCCCACACCTGTGTTAATGCTGCTGCTAAAGAGTTACTTTGTGTGATATTCAAATCTGTGTCCATCTTCAGGTGGAAACAAAAAACCCAAGGGAATGCCCAAGACCAGGGAATCAGGAATTCACTTGGCTTTTCCTAAATCCCATGCCAACAATTTGCTCACAAACATGTTTTTTCCCCTGATGATTTCTAAAAGTGTAAATGTTGCTGAAAATACATTGCTGGTTTATGGCAGAGCTGTAAGGAGTAGAAACCAGGAGTAACCAGAGCTGAGCCTCCCAGCTGGAGGTTTCTGGAGGGGCCATTGGTTCCCCTGCTCCTGTAGCATCTCCAGAAGTACCTGCAGTGGTGCTGGGGAAGCTGAAGCCCTTCAGTTTTTCCTTTTGTCATCCATAACTACTCTCAGCAGGCTCTGGCTTGCCATGGCCAGAGGCTGTGAGCTCGGTGCTGAGGGGTGAAAGAGAAATGCCTTCAGAGCTGCCTTCTCTTCTGCTCCTCTCCTCTTCTCCTCCCAGCTACATCCGCTGTTACTACTGGGCAGTGAAGACCCTCATCACCATCGGGGGCCTGCCAGACCCCAAGACCCTGTTTGAGATCGTCTTCCAGCTGCTGAACTACTTCACAGGCGTCTTTGCTTTCTCTGTCATGATAGGGCAGGTGAGTTGTGTCAGGGGGGATTTACAGCCTCGGGTGGGGGTGGTTTTGGTGGGCTTGATCCACAGGTTTGCTTCTCTGGGTTTGTTTTCCCCAGGGGAGGACCTGCTCAGCATTGGTGCAAGACAAAAAGGATTTGGCAGATGCTGTTAGGGCTTGGCTGACATGCTTAACCTGCTGATGGATAAGTGACAGCAACTTTAAGTTCTCCTCCACTTCTTCCTTTCAGATGAGAGACGTGGTTGGTGCTGCTACTGCAGGACAAACTTACTATCGGAGCTGCATGGACAGCACCATTAAATACATGAACTTCTACAGGATCCCCAGGACAGTTCAGAACAGGGTGAAGACGTGGTACGAGTACACGTGGCACTCCCAAGGCATGCTAGGTGAGATCCAGCCACTCCAAGGGTGAAGGCTTGAATCTCATGTTTTATCTCATGTGGTTGCTCTGCAGAGCTGAAATGTTGCTGTCAAATAGCACTACAGTTTGGGGGTGGAGGGTGGCTTATTTTACTTTTCAGCAGAGGGGCTTGTTTGCCCACCTATAGAGTTAACAGGCTGCCACTGGGTCACAGCACTTTGGTGACTTGGCATCACTTACAGCACACTGAGGCCAGTGTCCCACGTGCCCTGGAGAGAGGACAGTGACTGTCAGTCACTGGCCAGAGTGTGCCCAGCAGCAAAGCCACCAGCTCACCCTAGTGAGTCATTAGGCAGGAGCAGAACCTCTGTGCCCACCCTCCTGGACAGGAAAAAAGCTGATTTGGGCTCGCTGGTCTGTTTCTGAGAGCCATCAGGGCAGGGATAATGATATGGAAAGGGTGATTTTCCATCACACTTCAGATTTAGACCTGCAGGTTGCTGGGTGGGCAGAGGCTGGAGGAGACCTTTCTGTGCGAGATGGCTCCTGCCCTCTGCCACCAGAACGTGGGCTGCTTCCCACATGAAGGACACGCTCTCGGATCAAGTGCAGGAAGGAGCCACTTTTCTGCTTTGTCTCACAGATGAGTCAGAGCTGCTGGTGCAGCTGCCGGACAAGATGAGGCTGGACATCGCCATCGATGTGAACTACAACATCGTGAGCAAAGTGGCCCTTTTCCAGGTACCCTCTGCAGCACAGGCCCTGGCTGGCACAGCCTGCCACACCAGCACAGACTAATGCTGGCATGTTTTGGCTCTGTTTGGGCTCAGGGCTGTGACAGACAGATGATCTTTGACATGCTGAAGCGGCTCAAATCAGTGGTGTACCTGCCCAACGACTACGTGTGCAAGAAGGTAACGGGGTGCTTGGGAGTCAGGCTGTGCAGGGCACTTGGGAGAGCCAGGCCTGGCCCATCACCCTGGTGAGCACCTCACAGGGAGGGAATCTGGGGCAAAAACATCCTCCATGGAAGCTGGTCCTGTACAAAGACTGACCTGTGCAGCTGCAGCTCTGAACAGCAGGGGAGCAGGGGAAAGCTTGCTGGAATCTTTGGGATGCTGAGATGAGAATGCTCAGGAGAGAGCACCATCGAGACATTTTAGGAGCTTGGAGAGGGCAGTATGGTCATGGGGATCTCCAGCAAGATGCTGCTTAGGGCATCCATGAGCTCTCCCTGTTTCTGGGTGTCCCAGCCAGCTCCCCTGTTCCCTGCAGGGAGAAATAGGCCGTGAGATGTACATCATCCAGGCAGGACAAGTGCAGGTGCTGGGGGGACCTGACGGCAAATCCGTGCTGGTGACTCTGAAAGCTGGATCTGTCTTTGGGGAAATCAGGTGAGAGGAGCATTTCCAGGGAGCTGGGGAAATACAGCTTGTGGGTGAGGAGGGTGGGAAGTGGAAGGATCAGCAGCATCCCAGTTAATCTTTGTGACTGAGAGCCATGAATGCTGGGCAGTGGCTGAGGCACAAATTACAGCTTTCCTGCTGGATGTTGTCTTCAGCCTCGGGAGCTGGTGTTGGTAAACAGGGGAATATGGATGGAGGAATGGGAAAATTGATCAGAAAAGGTGTTTCACAAATACAGTCTCCCAGTCATTAATGCAGCCCTTTCATAGGAATGAAAAGCCCTGTTGGTAACACATCAATACTGCTGCCTCCCCACAGCCCAGCAGACACTCGACTGGTGTAAAACGCAACATTTAACCCTTCAAACCCACAAGTAATTTGTTGTGTAGTCCTCCATGCCAGGTTTCCCTTTATCACTCTTTAAAAATTGTGCACGATAAATTCCATCAGGAGTGAAAAATAAACAAACTGAGTCCCCTGAACGAGAGAGGTGCAGACGCGTAAAGGAGATTTGCCGTTCTGAGCCTGTGAACAGAGGTGTTGATGTTTGCATTGTCTCTCCAGCTTGCTGGCAGCAGGAGGGGGAAATCGCCGGACAGCGAACGTCGTGGCCCACGGCTTCGCCAACCTTTTTATTTTGGAGAAGAAAGACTTGAACGAGATTTTGGTGCATTACCCGGAGTCTCAGAAGCTGCTGCGTAAGAAAGCCAAGTGCGTGATGGGCTTCTGCTTTCTAACCTGCGGGGGTTTAAAAACAGCCGAGCCTGGGCTTCGCGGTCTCCGGGGAGTTTTCTCTCCTGTGAAGCCCTGGGAAAGCTCCTGCCGCAGGCGCTGCGCTCCCGCTCCCGGGGATGCTCCCGCTCGCACTCCCGGGGATGCTCCCGCTCCCGGGGATGCTCCCGAGGATGCTCCCGAGGATGCTCCCGCTCCCGGGGATGCTCCCTCTCCCGGGGATGCTCCCGTTCCCGGGGATGTTCCCGCTCCCGCTCCCGGGGATGCTCCCGCTCCCGGGGATGCTCCGCTCCCGGGGATGCTCCCGCTCCGGGCTGTCCGGCTGCTGTCCCTCGGCAGAGGGCACCCGGCCCTCGGCGCTGCCTGCCGGGCTCCGCCTGCCAAAATTCGCCTCTCAAAGCGGGTGGAGCTGGGCAAGGAGCGTGGCCAAAGCGTCTTCGCTTAAAAATCTATGTAAAGATTCTTTTTAGTTTTTAGCATCGCTTAGATTTGTTGTTCTGTCCTCCCTAAGGCACACAAAGCTCCTTGTCCTTTTAACGCTTGGTTTCTCTGCCCTGTAAAATCCAGCTAACAGATCGTGCTCCCGGACTGACATCATCTCTCTCTTTCCGTGCTGTAGGAAAATGCTGAAAAGCAGCAACAAGCCCAAAGATGAGAAAGGAGGCCCCGGAGATCCCCTGATCATCCCCCCAAAAGCCGACACCCCCAAGCTGTTCAGGGCTGCCCTGGCTGCCACAGGGAGGATGGGGGGCAAGGGGCCCCTGGGGCGGCTCCGCTGGAGGCTGAAGGAGCTGCAGGAGCTGCAGGCGATGCAGGAGGCGCAGGTCAGCACAGGAGCGTGGCTTTGCTTCCTTAGGTGCCAGGTCTGCTCTCCCCACCGGCTCTGGTGGGTGCCTTCAAGGACTGAGCCCAGGATGCTGGGGTCTGTCAAAGCTTGGGGGAAAACCCAGCACTCTGCACAAGCCTTTGGGGGAGTGCCAGTCTCCCACAGGGGTTTGTGTTGCTGTACAAAAGGGAAATACATTAACATTTTGCCTACCTGTGCTAAGCCTGAGTCTAATTTCTAGCTAGGCTATAGCCACAGATGAATGAATGTCTCTTCTATCCTGCAGAGACAGAGCCCCTCATAATTCATCAATGTACTGGCAGGGGCACCCACAGCCCAGCTGATGTTCCAAAGCTTTCCCCAAGTGGTTGGGACAGAGGTTCCTACAGCAGGTGATGTCACCTCTGCAGGAGCCCCTTGCTTTTTGCCATGAACAGCTGAAAAGGAAAAAGGCCCTGTTCTTCCCCTCCCCCCCCCTTTTTTTTTTTTTTTATTCCAGCTGTTTCAACTAAACTTCTAAGGAAAGTTTTGTCTCCATGCAGACCCTGTTGTTACTCTTCTCAGCAAGGAACCAGGCACACTTATCACATCTGGATGTGCAGAGGGAGGGGAAGGAGCTGATAGGGAGTGCAGTGACCTTGAGGCTGGGTAAACACCAGGTTGATGCCAAGCATAATTGCATTTCTGCAGTCCTTCAGAGGCATGAGAAGCTTCAAACAATGTTGTGTTTAACATTAATCCATAACCAGTTAACAGCAGCAGTGAGCAGTGGCACTGAGGGCTCTGAATGAGTGAAAACAAGCCCAATGCTGAAGGGTGCATGTACTGGGAACTAACCCCACTAGTGGGTGAGCAGGACCCTGCTAACCTCTGTTCTGGTTTAAAAGCAAAACCAGTGAGAGACCCCAAGTCAGAAATACAATTTATCAGGAAAAGGGAAAAGAAACAAAACCCATGCAATAATACAGAAGAAAAACTACTGACAAAGTCAGAGCACAACCTGACACCCCTTTGGCCAGCGTGTTGGTAGCAGTCCAATTTGGAGTGGCTGCATCCTCCTGGAGTGGCAGATGTGGTTCTGTTGGGGCAGTGGTCCTGTAGAAGGGTGTAGCCTTCCCACAGGTTTCCAAGAGGAACATCTGGGGTGCTCCACTGGACCTTCAGAACCTCCCTGTCCATGGCACATCCCTGGGGCAGCTTCTGAGGCTCCTCTCTAAAGGAGGCCAGGGCAGTCTGGCACTGCTCCCTCACAGCAGCTCTAGTGCCTGGTTTGGCCAAGAACAGCCCCTCCAGAAGCTTCAGGAGCAAAACAAGAGTTAGTGCAGATGTGAGGGAGCTCTGTTGTGCTCCTCTCTCTGTGCTTCTCAAGACATACAGGATAAAACCCAGCAGCCCCTCTTGCAGGGAGCATCCCTGGCCTCAAGCTGATATCCCAAAGCAGAGATCCTGTGGTGGAACCACAGAGCTCCTGTCCAGCTTTGTCACGTTAGGGATAGTGGGCAAGGATCTGCTAAGGTTGTTTTTGCCTATTTTTTAACTTTTTATTGCAGGGTTCCTGTGTCAGCCCCACGCCACCAAAATCACCAGTGCACCACAGATCGCCTGTCATGGCTCACAGAGCACAAACCCGCCTGGGAGAGGAAATATCCTCAGAATCTCCTGATCATTCAGTCACCATTCGTGTGATTTCCACAGCAAAAGAAGATGAGGAAATCCTTGCTGCTGAGATTTCAGAGAAAGATGAAAAAAAAGAAGAGCAATGAAAGAGCAGCAGGTCCCGGGGCAGGCGTAGGAGTCAGGCAAATGCCTGGGCTAGCAGATTTTTCTTGTTAATGATTTCCATGCAGTGGCTGTAGGTTTTGCTGTGTGCTGTGGGTAGGATCTGCCTCTCTCTTCTGCCCAGACCCTCAATCACTGCTGATAAAACCCTCTCCTATTTCACCCAGAACCATATAAGGTTTCTCTGCTCTGCAGATCTATTGAGCACCTTTATTAATTTCCCACTAAATCTCAGGTCAGCCCCCTTGTTTTGAAATCCAGTCTTGTGGAAGGAGAGCTATGGAAAAATTGCTTTTTATGGCTCTGGATGGTTAATGAGTGTTCAGACAAAGCATGAAGAGTTATTCACCTCTGACAGCTGAGTCACTGCTTGGCTAGAAACAACCAAGGGAAAAAAAAACAACAAGGTTTCTGTGCTGGGCTCAAGGTTGACAGCAGCAGTGGGGAGTGATTCATCTGAAAAGGATGTGGACTAAGCTCACAGGACAAGCATGGAGCAAATCAAGCTGTCATGAGAGTGCCAAGCTCTGTCCCCAAGTGCACAGACTGCAAGATGCTTGAGGATCCCCTCATGGTGCCAAGACCACCTTGGCTTTGCCACTGGGAAGAATTCTTGCCAGCTGCCCACTCTGGGAAGGTTGTGGACTCTCCATTATTGGGGTTTCTTATGGGGAGATTTGATGAGCATCTTTCAAGGGTAGAGAAGCACAATCCTGGATGAGAGGCTCCTGGAGTTCTTTTCCAACACTGGGATTTGTCTGTGCTGCCACTGCTGGGAGGGATAAACAGAGAGCAGGAAGGGAGAAGCTGAGTTGGTTCCCAGCTGGGAGGGGAAAGAGAAGTGCAATAGGTGTTCTCATTTCCCAGAAGTTATTTCAGAGCCTGTAACATGCCAACAAGTGTGCACAAGTTTGCAGGTGCTCCCCTGCACTCATTGCTGGACCTCAGTGACATCCACATTTCCAGCAGGCAATTTCCAGCCCTTCAGCCACTTCAGACTGGCTCTTGGCCACATTTCACACAGAGACAAAAGCCACTCTGGTCCTGCTCATCACTGAAGTCATGAAGTCACTCTCCCAGCTGTGCTGGGACTGGGTGCTGGAGGGGAAGGCAAACATCTGGTCAGCAGCCAGCCCCCAGCTGATGGCTCAAGGTGTCCCATCCTCTTCCAGCACCACCAGCTCCTTCCTCATCCTCCTCAAAGCCAGCAGAGTGAGCTTCTGGCGAGCTGAGAAGAGGTGAGAAGCAGTGCATGGATGAGGTTTTGCAGATCCTCCCCAAGTTTTTGGCTGTCCATGTTCCCACAGCACCACTGGCTCCATGGAGAGGAGCCACTTTCCACCCTGTGGAGGAAAAGCTGGGGCAGGTTTTGCTGCAGGGAGCAGCCCTGTCACCGTGGCCAAGGGACTTCTCAGGTGCTCAGAAATGCAGTGAGCAGTGCTGCAGGTTCCACAGGTCTGGCTGTGGCACAGTCAAGGGTGGCAGTGCTGGTGTCACCCCCTGGGTGATCCCTCTTCCCATCAGCAGCACGGAGCTGACCTTCACCTCCTTTGGGATCTTCTTTTGTTGCTTTTTCCCCCGTCTTGCAAAAGATATGAGTTTCTGTGGCAGAAAATAAAGCCAGAATAGATGTTAGCATTAGCTAATAATGTCTTGCTTTCTTTTTAAACAAATTTAATGAGCTCCACTGTACTGCAGGAGGGTCTGAAGCCGTCACATTGCAGGGGAGAGCCTGCACTCATTCAAACCTCCCTGAATATTTCTTATCCTCAGTCATTTGCAAGTGGTTTCCTCCCAGGTAGAAGATTTTGGTAGGGAGTGCAAAGTTTGGGATTTTTTGCACTCTTTAAATGAATATTTATATAATCAAACCAGGAAAGATGCAAAAATCAAACTGGGGCTCTTATTTACTTCTATGATTTAATATTCTTTAGAAAAAGTGTTTAAATAAACACTGGGCTGTAATTGCTCTCATAATTCACTGCATCTACAATAAACACCATGTAGATTACCATTTATTTGGTGTTGATTTATTTCAACATTCCAGTTGTTTTTCAGCTTCTTGCTCACTCATGCACTGACAGCCAGAAAATCCTCACATGCAGTTCATATTTCCCAATAAATAATTGAGAAGCTCAGAGGTCACATAATACTGGTAGTAGAAATGTAATTTGCTTTTAATCGCCAATAGGAGGGAAAAAATCCTTAAATAGCAAAGACTGCTTGAAGACCTTAGTTTTCAACACACAGCATGAGATGCTGATGGATACACAACTGGTAATTCTGGAACTGTGGGGAGATCTGAAATTATCCTTCTCTGTGATCTGTTTATGGCTTTAGTTCTTTGGAGAGATTATTCTCCAGGTAATAATTAAGGTCAAGGTAGGGCTAGACTTGCAGGCTGGGCTGGGGAGTTGAGCTCAGGTCTGTTTGCTCTGCAGGACTATTTAGAGATGACAGAGGACAGAGACTTTAGTGCCTCGTGTTTTGGGGGTTGCCATGGCTTGGCTTTGTTCTGTTGAACTTTTAAATTCCATTCATTTCCCAGTTTTGCTGTATTTGCAATGGGCTCCATTTGCATTGGTTCCAATAAATATCTTGCAGAGGGCACTCATCACTGGGTGTTCTTCCACTGCCCTTGGAACATTCCTAATGGATTTGGTAACACTCCATGTACCTTTACTGCATTTCTCACTAGCTTTGATCATTCCTCTTGATGTCCTTAAGTGCTGGGTCTGAAATGAGATCTTCTCTCATATTAATGCAGTATTTGGGGAATCTTGATGGGCAGCTGCTTATTGCCATAGAAACCAGGTCTTCTTGCAGTGATATTTTAGCTGCTGCTGTTTTTAGTGAAATAAGTGGAATAGAGAAGTGCTGGAGAAAGAAGCAGAGCTTGTCTTTGGAGCTGTAGGAATGTGGTGGGTTTTGCCTCACTGTCACCAGTAGCATCTTTACTGGAGGCTTTATATACACTGTTTATATTTTTATATATGTAATTTTTTTATACTGGGGATGTGTTCATATTCCTTGTGGCCTGTGTCTTTCAGAGAACTGATAGTGATTCAATGTTCTGTAGGAAGTTAAAGAAGACAAATGTCTCCCATTAGAAAATCAGCTGACAAAAGGAATAGTATAACCCACCACAGACATCTGCCAGTGGAGGAAGTTGTTTTCCCCTGAACAGAAACAGGGCAGGTAGCTTCTCTGTATTTATAGCCAGATAAATCTTTTAAAAAGATTAAGTGCAATTGCAGGGTAATCACTGATAAGGTTGTAATGAAAGTAAAAGCAAATAAGCAGGTTTGGGGATTAGACTCAGGTCCAGAAAGAAATTGCAGGATAAATGGAAAGCCCAGTTAAATGGTGTTTAATTAGGAAGCTTGAAATAAAATTAAGTACTTCAACCTTGAAACCTGCAGACACTAACCAGCAGGACACACTCCTAGTTCTGGGAACAGTCTGTAACCCACTTTTTCTATCTATATATATTTTTTCCTTTGTGTAGCTCTGCTTTGAGTGACACTTGCATATAAATCTGTCTGAATCCCTTTTACCTTTCCCTAAAATTGAGCTAATCCAAGTCTGGTTTTCTCTGCTCTGAGCATGCAGCTCCTTTTAAGTGCAGCAATGGTCCCACTGGAATTAACACCCTGAAAAAACACCAGACCACCTTTTGGAAAGGGCCACACAGAGGTTCACAAACTTATTGGTGCCCATGACGCTCTTGTTAGCAGCAGCTTAGGCTGAGCTCAGGCTCAGTGACCTTTGCCTTTCTCATTTTTTCCTCATTTACCTGTCCTGGTTTTGGGATGAAACTTGCCCACTTTGGTTCATGCCCTTGGGTGAATGTCTAAGGGAGATCTGTGCCGTATCAGTGAGCTGGGTTTGATCATCTGAAGAACTAGAAACCTACATTCTGCCATGCAGTTTTTCCTGCTTTTACAAGTCACTTGATGCATGAGAAGGGCTGGAAGTCAAACAGTTAAAGTCACAAAACTGTTTTCTTCGATAAACTGGAGGAAATTTGAGAAGAAATGTAAACAACCGGAGAATCGAGATAAATCAGGCTGTGGGATGCTGGGAGCACCCCTGCCAGCTCTGAGCTGTGACATCCTGGGGACAACCAGCGCGGCCCAAATTGCTTCACGGTTTGCAGATGCTCCTTTTGCAAACCTGAGCTCACCGGGACGATCAGTGCCCCCTTGCCAGCTTTATCTGCCAGAAGCGGTGGGGAGGGCTAGGGGAGCATCCAGGGCACCCCGGAGCCCCCCGGGGCTCTCCCCGTGGATGATCCGGGTAAATCCCAGCGGGAGCATCATGCGGATGGTCCGAACCTGCCCCACGGTGAGCACCACACGAGCTGCCCCGCGATGCTCCGCCGCAGAAACAACCCGAGGAATGAAGACCAGCCAGACCAGCCACTCCTTCTCGATAAGAGGCTCTTTTGTGCTGCAGAAATGCCAATATCACGCGCAAACCCCTCCGCTGCCATGGTTACTGGCCCCCGGCAGAGGCGGCCGTGGCACTGACGGGGCTGCTGCTCTTCCCTTTGCAGGGGAAACCCCACAAACCCCATAAAACCTGCGCTCTGCCCCCAAAAAGGAGGGGAGGTGGCTGCAGGGAGCCCTATCCCCACCTGGCATGGCGATGATCCGGGCTCTGCCCTGCCGCTGGGCTTTACGCCCCGGGTTTGCTAAATTCCTCGCTAATAGCCTGAGATATTACTGAAAAATGAGAAAATAGCACTGCGGCTTGGGTGGGCAGAGATCAGCTATGCCCCATTTCCTGTTTTTCTGGCATTAGGAGCAGCTTGACCTCTTGGCACTCTTGCTTTTTGCACTAATGCTCTTCTCATTAAAGTGCTTTCCTGAACACTAATTAGGGCGGTTTTCCTTTTGTAAATTAGCCCGATACGATCTGTGTGTCTTGGCACACAGACACCCTCGGAGCAGGAACCCAGGGCTTTGCGTTTGATCGCTGTTTATTTTGCAAATCTCCCCAGTTTCAATGTTCTTAACCGCCTTCTAGAAAGTGCTGGCAGGTGGAGATTAATGGGAGGGAAATGGACCTTTCCAGCTGGCCTGCACTGAGAAACAGGAGATTTTTTGGTGCTACAGGGGCCTTCCAGTTGCTGTGGGTTAATGGGGTGCTGTGGGTACACAGAAGCTCCTTCCTGTCCCATCTTGGCATCCTTGCATGGTGTGCAATGGAGGAGTAGGGCTGCAAGGAGAGGCACTGCCTGAACCAACCTCTTAACAGGTAATACAAAAAAGAAAATCAAATTAACACATTAATTTCCTGCAGTTAAAGCACTTCTTGTGACCACAGGAAATTCTCAGACCCAAGCAACCACAAACCCATCTAAAACTGGATGTCTGTGGCCGGAGGGAAGTCCACCTGTCTGCTGCTGCCCCCGGTCAGTGGTGTCAGCAGTTTGCTGGGGACCAATGGTGCTCGGGAAGGGATGGACTTTAATCAGCTCTCATTTTCTTAATGCACTGGCAGATGGGAGCAGAGGGGACAGCGCTATCTCTGAATCTGCCACCGATGGGCTGGAGCCACAAGAGATGGGCTGAGAAATTCAGTGGGGAAGGCAACACTGGGTGCAGAAGCCATCCTCTGCCTCGGCTTGCTGGGGAGGCTGGAGCGAGGGGAGCATCCCTGGGGAGTCCCACCAGCTGCACCAGCACTGGGACCTTCTGGGGTTCATTTAGGACACTTTAGGGACCATCTTTACAACAGCATTTCCTGGTCCATAATCAGGGAAGAGGAGAACTGCAGGGGGACTTCACTCAGGGACCCCTGAGGCTGGGACAGAGTCAACAAACCCCTGATGAAAAGACAAGGATTTTTCAATGCTGGTGTGCCAGCCCTGTGGCACCACGTGTGGAAAAGCACGGGGAAGGATCCCAGCCCAGGGAGCTGCTGCCAGCACCGGCCAGCCCGGCTCACTCCTGGTGTCTGAGGGGGGCTTCCTACGGACCATAGGGAGCTCAGCACCCCTCCCAGGCTGTGCTGAGCCATGCACACTCTGTGGGCGCTGGCAGGACTGTGGGTGCAGGGCTGGAGCTGGGGCAGCAGCAGGAGGAGCAGGATGCAGGCTGTGGAGAGCATCCCTGCCCACGGCGAGGAGCGTGAGCGCTGCAGCCTCGAGGGTTTCTGCAGACCCATGGGCACCATCAGGAGATTCGCCTGTGGAGGAGGATGCTTCCAGAAAAACTGCCCAGGACCAGGGTTGGCCTGGATGGCTCCACAGGTGAGAGCAGTGGTGGGGGCTGGGGGCAAACAGGGCATAGTCTGTGTCAAAATCAAAGGCTGGGGATGAAAACCAGCTCAATGCCTTTGGATTGGAGTTGTTTTCATGAAACGTCCCTGGATGTTTGCACGCAGGCTCTGTGTTTATTTTGCTGTTACTTCCTAGGGGGTTAATTCAGCTGCACATTCTGTCTGGTGGGTTAAAGGTGAAGATAAGTGAGTAGAGATGCCTGAGCCCCAGAGAGCCCTGGTCCCACCTCAGCTGGGATACTGAGTGCCCTGGCCATGCCTTGCTCCCACCTTGTGTACCATTTCCTTCTCCATCTCATCCTTATTGTTTCACCTGACACCTCTCTTGGATCAGCAAACAGATGTGAGAGCCCAGGAAGGTTTACATGAAGTTCCCAGCAAGCTGGCAGTTATTCCATGTCACTCTGCATAAACCCTGCCTGCGCTGCCAGCTTTTCCTTAATGTCTCCTTGTTTTTCCAGTTGTGAGTGATTGCTGAAGGGATCTCCTGGCAGAGAAGGCTCGGGTTCACCCTTCACATCCCGTTCACCTCTAAGGCACATGCATGAAAATCTGGGTGTGGGTCTGCTCCTCTCCATAAAGAGAAATTAAATCTGCTCACGCGGCGCCGGGCGCAGGCAGCAGAGCTGAAGCGTGTGGCTGTTTAATATTCATTGGGCGTAGATGTAAAACTTTTCTGTTCTAAAATAGTCTTGCACAGTGCTGTGCTGCTCCTTCTTCCTT